CGGTTTTTGTCATTCTATGCCTAAGAATAGATTGTTTTTATGAAAAAAGGTGCGCTTATTTATAACCTAACCCTTTAATTTTTATTTTCACTACAACACCAGATCACATTTTAAAGGGGCACTTATCTAGACAGTGGGACATTAGGAAGGGTGGATGCCCATGAGATGCCTTTATTTGAAAATATCCCCGGTAGTTCTTGTCTGACTGTAATAAAGTAGGAAATGTTTTCGCCCGTATTCCCCCAAATTTCATTCTAGTCAAATCATATAACCTGAATATATATTCCTCATCTAATAAGGATGAGTTTAAACATGTTTATTTCTGTATTTCTATCTCAACATGCTGAGAGACGTATCCAACTTCTGAAAATGCCAAACAAAGACAATTCTTGCTCATCGTTAAGATTTAGGGGGGATACGGGCGGAAGTCTTACCTGAATGTCAACCTTGCGCAAATTGTAAACATGGCTCATACGCCTCTTTCCAAAGTTTCTGACCATTCCAGAGTGGTGTGTTGGTAGGGGAGTACTGTACCACGGGACACTGAACTATAGGCTGGTTTCTGTCGTGTTTCGGTTGGCTTAAAAACCAAGCTGTTAGTGTTTTGTATTGAATAGTTATTTGTCTTCTTTAGACAGAATAGTTTTTATGTTACAATGTATACAAAAAAACAAGAAAGGCACCTACCCACCTTTCACAGACGAGTTCAATTCGCCTCTCGTGCAATGCCGGATTACGCAGTGTCTTCCGAGGAACGAAGAAGTTATAGTAGAATAGAGATAAACGTACCGTGTTTGAAAAATAGATTTATTGATAGGCTCTAAATTTCATCAAATGATTTTACTTTAGTCCGTTTATCTCCTATATGGTCTACTACATCATAACTGATTACTTCACCTGCCTGAGTGATGGTGCTGATCTTGTTGCAGAATCCAGTAGAGTCGGATTTGTATGATTTCACCCGATAAATTTCGTTGATGGTGAGCATGATAAACGGCCTCCCATGGATGCCAATGAAAGGTTCTAGAAACAGTTTTGGTCTGTACCCGGCGACTGTTACCTTGAGGCACCATGGGTCCGTGATTATGACCATGCAATACATGAGAAAAAAACTAGGTCGTTTGTCTGTTACATCTCACCAGATTGCCTGAAAAATGTTATCAAAAGTCCAAATCTAATACAGCTCCAGGGCCTGATGGCATTCGAAACCGGTACTGGCAACTGTTCCCTTGTGTCCAAACACCATTACTTCACTGCTTCAGTACTCTCGTGGACACATGTGGTGATCCTCCATAGTTCTGCAAAGGTCACACAATAATCCTTCCCAAAAAAGGAGACTTGACTGATCCCAAAAACTTCCACCCTATCAAATGTTTGAATACACAATACAAACCTCATGTCATCATACTGCTCTGCGAATGATATAATTTACAGAGAAAGAAAGGGATGATGGGGGTGCAAGGATCAACTTGTTGTACAGAAAATGATTTTGGAAGAGGCTAAAACATATCACCGCAACCTCTCCATGTACTGGATTTCTACAAAAAAGCATACGACTCCGTCCCTCATGAATGTATTCTGAAGTCACTTTGTTGTATTAACCTCCCGGAGCGACTACTTTATTTACTCAAGTCTTTAATGAGTTGCTGGTCGACTCAACTTGAGATATACTCGCAAGGGCAGGTGCAGACTTCGGAATCTATTCCAATCAGAAGGGGAATTTTCCAGTGGGACTCCTTTAGTCCTTTGCTTTTTTGTTTGTCTCTAAATCCTTTGAGCTTTCTGCTCAACAGAGAGGAGGGTAATCATCCCGGACTTCCTCAGCACAGATCCCCAACACCACTTACTCATCTCCTATACATGGATGACATCGAGCTCCTTGCCAAAGGAGGTACCAATTTGAAAAAGCAGGTTCTCCTCGTCGAGTCCTTTTCTAATGATATTGGCATGACATTTGGACTAGACAAATGTAATACTCTTCATTTGAAACGTGGCAATGTAGTTAATGGTGGATCGGTCAAGTTACAGGGGGGAGGAGTTATTGAGCATCTTGTGGAAGATCAGGCCTACACCTATCTTGGAATGCAAGTTCGAGACTAGCTCCAGAGTGCCCATATTCAAGACAAACCTAGGGCCGAGTACAAATCTCGCTTAAAGAAAATCTGGAGCTCAGAGCTAATTGCTCGAAACAAGGTCAAAGCCACCAACATTTTGGCAGTGCCAGTCCTTTCCTATTTCTTTGGAGTAGTTGATTGGACAAAACAAGACATCCAGAGTCTTGACCGCCTGACCAGAAGGATCATGTCTGATAACAGAGCCCACCAACCTCGTTCCTCTCTTAACCGTTTATATATGCCAATCAATTCTGGAGGGCGGGGTTTGATTAATGCGGAGGCTCTTCATGGTAGAATTTTATTGTGTACTTTTGCAAACATTTATTTATTGGATGATCCTCTGGTGATGCATGTGAAGACTCATGATGAAAGCAAGGAATTCCACAGTTATTTTAAGCGTGCCATGGTTGTTGGACAGAATCTGAAAATTGAGGTTGATTTTACCGATGGCGATGTACTGCTGGACGGTACAACGATGGGAGTAAACCAGGTGAAGTCCTTCACCAAGTCTGCCCAGAGTCGGTCATTTGTGGAGAAGCTTTCTGAGAAGCCATTGCATCGTGTGTACATGCAGTGCGTGGAACAGAATAGCAATCCAACCGACTCCTTCACCTGGATGAAGTCAGCTGGTCTTAAATGTGAAACTGAGGGCTTCCTTTTAGCTGCTCAGGACCAGTCACTTTCCAAACGCAATCGCCTAAATGAGATTCTCAAAGGAAACATTAACATGAAATGTCGACTGTGTAATGAATTTACAGAGACCGTCCAACACCTTGTCAGTGGATGCCCTTCCTTGGCACAAACAGCATATCTTAAGAGACATGATGGCATGGCTCGCTGCTTTTATTACCGTCTTCGCCATTCCTGTGGCTTTGACTCCGAGGTACATTCATGGTACGACCCTGAACATGTCCAGGGCGTCATGAAAAATGATGCTTTCAAACTTCTTTGGCATAGGCCGATATACAGCCTCAGAAGAAATCCAGCCAACAAATCTGATCTTGTCAGTTTTGACAATTAATTAATCTATATCATTGAATTTTCTGTCCCTTTTGACAGCAATGTGATTGGTCAAGATTCAGGAAAAGCATACTAAGTATGCGGACCTCGCCTTTGAAATATCTCGCTTGCATCCCAAGTACACTGTCGTCAGGCTCCCCATTGATCTCGGTGCCCTTGGTTTGGTACCTCCTGATCTCTTGGCGTGCAGATCAGGAGAGTGCACGGGTTCTCCACCGAGAGACTAGCCCTTCTGACACTCTGGGTAATGCAGAAGGCTGCAGTGTTGGGGAGCCTTCATATTCTCCGGAGAGGTCTTGGTGGGTTCGACTAGGCTGTGTTTTCTGGGAGAAGCCCCATTCGCTGTCTGGGCTGCGTGTAGAGGGAGCAAGGGCCCTGAGCCTTACCAGACTGACTGTGCCAGGATCACCCGAACCCTCTCTTCTGCATTTCCATCTTTAATCTGTAAAACATAATAATAATAATTGTATAGCGCCCTATGTCCAATCACTAAGTGGTAGCTCATGGCGCTGACATATATACATATTTACAACAGGAGTTCATTTATATGTCATAGTGCTTCTTGAACAGGAAAGTTTTTAAGTTAAACTGGAAGCTGGCTATTGAGGGGGATTCTTTGAGAGACACATGCAGATTGTTCCAGAGGATAGCTGACAAGTAGGAAAAACGTCGATGTCCGTTTGTCTTCAGACGTGCATTTGGGACGATGAGCAGCGACTGATCGGCTGATCCAAGAGTCCTGGTTGGAACGTACTCTCTGACAAAACTAGAGGGATACGATGGAGCTGCATTGTTAAGACATCTATACGTCATGTTAAGGATCTTGTATTCTATCCTGGCTGGGAGTGGTAACCAGTGCAGACGCATGAGGATTGGGGAGATGTGGCTGTGCTTGGTGGTTTTGCAGATTAATCTGGCAGCTGCATTTTGGACTTTTTGCAACCTGGAGAGCAGGTCTTTGTTCATGTTCCCAAGCAAACTGTTGCAGTAGTCCAAGCGGGTCAACACCATAGGTCTTACAAGATGGTGTGTTGCGTCAGTTGTTAATAGGTGGCGTATGCTGGAGATATTCCTCATTTGTTGATCACAGATTTTACATACGTTACTGACGTGTGGCTCGATGGAAAGTCTGTCAGGACACCCAGGTGTTTCACTGTTGGGCTCACAGAGATCCGAGATTCGCCTATCTTAAGTGAATTCACACTCAGTTGACTGGTGAACAAGCCATGAGAATGTCTGTTTTGTTCTCGTTTAGTTTGAGTTTACTTTGAGTCATCCATATCTTCACATTCCCTACACACACTTCAACTTCTGCAATTTGTGATTTTGCATCATTAACATCGAGTTTTCTTAAGAGTTGAGTGCATGCTTCATGGGTCAAAGAATGATGTTTTCCCATACGTTTGTCATATGTCATAGTGGTATGAATGTTAAGTGATTGAAGAATGACAGATAGTGTTTGTGTACAGTACAAAATACCCCGCAGAAACCTGTTTGACAACAGGACAGTTGCATCATTCATCTTGGTGACATCTTGGTGACATCTTGGTCACCTATTTTAATGGCATGGCTCATAGCTGAAGGATTACTTGTCATACCAACTAAGCAAATGGTAGGCAAAATAGGAGAGAAACTTATACATGTAGTTCATGTGCTGGGTGACTCCAACTGACATACGTTTGCCGGCATACGAATGAAGTCGACACATTTGCTGAAAGAAGACTCCCATGTTTGAATATCCAACTGCATCATATGCATCTGATGATAAACGGTATCCCATAATCACATCCCTGTGTGGGCAGACATGTATACATGCAAGGCCCACTTTGCTCAGAGAGGGTAAAGACAATCACTCCAACAAATACAGAACATTTTTGGAAAACATTTATTCAACTTTTTGTTTCATTCAGTGCGAGAATGATTGTTTCCCTGACGGAATGTGTCACACATGTTAAATATTGTACATCAGGGAGGTGCATTGAAGAGTGTACATGCGGTTAATTGCCAGTGTCTTCAAATGACTTGGTAGATTTTAAATGTGCATGTCGTGTGAAATGGTAGTTGGTGCATTTTGTGTACCATGCATCCCACGTCTCACATTCACGCTTCTCCTCCACGCGGAAACAACGTGCACCAAACACATTGAAGAAAAGATTGCCCACTTCACGGGCAACTGGAGTTTTTGCCTTCTTCAAGCAGCTATTGAAAGCGTCGGTACAGGAACACCCATACACCGGCCACGGGTAGTAGTTGAACGTCTCTGAGTGAGACGACGTGGCTATAAAACAGATAAAAAAATTAGATACATTACCAGATTTCAAAACTAAAATATTGTGTCAGCTTGTAAATACCGGGATGATAGATGAATCGATCCATGTATAATCGAGTCTGGACCAGACAATCCAGTGATCAACAGCATGAGCATCGATCTGCGCAACTGGGAACCGATGACATGTGTCAACCAAGTCAGCGAGCCTGACCACCCGATCCCGTTAGTCGCCTCTTACGACAAGCATGGGTTACTGAAGGCCAATTCTAACCCGGGCCTTCACGGGTCAGCATATATACGAAGCACATGTATATTGTTTATACACCCAGGTAGGGACATTAACCGCATTTATTGCAGGGCACGATGTTATCCATCTAGAAGCAGGGGGTGTATACTGTCCCCGGTTGCATGACACACTGATATTAGTAACCCATCTATAAGAACTGGCTGTATGAACACCTACTAGAAATATTGTATGACATCGTTATCTTCTTGAGAAATGTATTTTTTATATCTGATATTAGCAGTTCTTCAGAGGAAATATGTTCTGCGCACTGATTCTACTAGATTCCCCTCGCATTCCTAACTAGAAACATGTAAGTAGTATACCTGGCATCACATCTTTGCAACTATGGAGTGTCTTGCAGCATCTGTCGGCACTCCTGGCTGCCCTGCTTATGGTTCTGTTGGTTTGTGTGCTGGTGGTCATACACGACTGTGTGCCTGAACATACGGGAACAACGTATCGTGTAATACTGCCTGCCTGTGACTCGTGATTAAGGTGCAGTTTACATTAATATATTTGACCATTAACAGAATTGCCAGTTTGTATGCACACACTTGCAATTTAAACACTACAAAATATATGGAGATTCAGCTAAGTCAATCCGATATATTATCTTTGAACCTTGGTCAAACAACGTGATACACCACAGACAAATGCGCTCTATATATGATATGCAATATGTCAAAGTTGAGGGAGAGGAGGAAAAGGTGACATGAACTCAGGTCATTAGAGGTCGTTCAGGTGTGTCAGGCGCAGACAAGTAAACGACGGTAAAACGCATAAAACAAACAAAGCAATATTTACTCTACAATAACTACGTTAATGATAAATAACATAACCCTACGGATAGATTAATTAATCATGACAACTGCATAGAATTCTTTGTATGGTATTTCATACTTATTGCGTTAACTACGGTAAAGTCGTATAGTAACAATAATGAAAATACATGGGTTGTGGGTGCATCTACGGTAATATGTTATATTACGTGTCCATTCCCAAGTTAAAACTTATCAGTTAACCAGGAATCAGTCATTAAAAGAACTAGGTGTGAAACAAAGATAAGTAGGGTAATTGACAAGTGTGTTGTAATCTACAATTTACTGAGGTGTCAACTCAAAGGTATCACTAAAACAGTACAAAATAGAGTAGCAGTACAAACTCAAAAGGCAGTATACTACAAGAGCAGTGACAATAGCACTGAAGATTATGATGGGAATATTCGCCTCTCAGCAACAGACATGCAGAATGTACAGGTTAATAATGATCATAGCTCTATGTTGGTCTTCTGTTGACTTGAGCTCAGCTTATAGACAAAAGAAGAAGCCTTGAAAATTCCACGAAAAGTCCAAAGACAGAACACTCCGGAATCCTAACAACAGCAGAAACACCGTGGAAGCCTTAGTACTCTGTCTAAATGTTTAAATATTGGTTAAATATAGAGCACACAATGCCCAAGACTGATTCTGACTGAATATCATCAGATACAGTTTATTACGCTTGGAACATTGGTACTTCTATGCTTAAACAAATCAGGTTCGAAGGTACATAGTCGTGAACTACAAAAGACGATAGTAGGTTAGTTAAAAGAGTATGATAAGGTATATAACAACGGCACAGTTGTCAGTGACTACGCGTATTTCCTATAATTATGTACAGATAAAAGAAAATGGAATAAACGTTGTAACTACAACCATGCGGGTTTGAATATATATGTTCCTAAAATATGAAAGAACCACTTCACATATTTAAATGACTCTGATAACAAAATTTCATTTAAAAGCTGTTCTATAATGTATTTAGCATTACGATGAACGGGAAGTTATACAATATCTAAATACTACATCTTGATGATAAAAGTCACTGTGAGAGTGTATAGGAGGTAAATCTACTCATATAATATTTAAGCGGAGGACTATCCGAAATTATGGAAAAGCTGACCTACATATAAATTCAGCATTGCTTAAAGTAGTTGAAAGAAATCTTGGAACTACTTTTAGGTACTTGACCTAGCTACTGAACGCTACACTACTGTTCAAGAATCTAGACTAACACGTTGATGGGATAATACCAAACATACACTTGGGATACATGCACATGGATGTTGAAACATAGAAAATAACTAATGGTTTGTACATAACCTGAAGAACCCACGACGCAATACACGTCACTGGATAGTGCCAAAGTATTAAACGGTCATTTCGAACTAGCATGTTGAGTGGTGCATATTTCATAAAGAGCATAAATATTATTGCAGTGTTTCAAAGTTAACTCCAATATTTTCCAGAGAATTTACAATGACATAAGAAGAATTAGAATACAATATAAATGTTTCTTACCTGAAAGCAAGAGAAGACAGAGCAGTGAGTTCCTTGGTTTTATTTCAAGCAAGTGTGCTTAAGGTCGTAAATCCAAGTATATATAGCTCACAGCTCTACTCGTTTAACATTAACAGTTTTTTCTGATGTTGTGATTCCAATTGGATTAGCCTATGCTCTTAAAGTTTACTACATAAGGTAGGTGGTTAGAAGATAATCTCAGCATTGCCTAACAAGAGTTAATTTTAATTGGAGCCACGCTCAAACATGCACTTGCAGGTGCAAAATATCTGTCAGTGTTTGACCATGGCATATACGACAGGAAAAAAGGCCTGGAAAGATGGCCATCTCAATATTGTTTCAAAAAAAGACGCTTCTTAATTATTTATAATAATGAATTTCTATGGCGCCTGGTATCCAACGGCGCATCACAAAGTCAACCCTGGATAACCCAATCTGCCTAGGCGCTACAAGGTTATAGTCACATGATTTATCCCACAGGGTACGCATTTTCTGATGGGTGAACAGGGGCAATTTTGAACAAACTCACTTCCTTAAGGTGAGACTACATGTATCACATGTGCTCCGTTGTGGGACAGGACTGAAGTCCTAGAAACTCTGATGGGTCAAGTTGCCAAACACGGTCACCCATCCAAGGACTCTCCGCGCCCCACGATGCTTAAATTCAACTGATTTGTAACCTGAGCTCTATGCTTCTGGGTAGGGAATTTTTACCTGCTCCTGACCATGGGATCTACGAAAGAAGAAAGGTCGGTGTCGACACAGACCACTGACACTGTCTTTGATCAAATAATTTAAGGTTTTCATGAACACGTTTGCTTTTAGCCTTCCTAACAATTTAAAACAATAACATTTCACAATATGCTCGAAGGTGTAAAATGTGAAAGTACCCATGGTGAACTATTAGGTTACAAGCGGTGAGGAGTTGCTGAAAAGGCTTGTGTAACTTGAGGGAATTGATATAAGAGATAGAGATGGATGGTGGTTAGTTTATTGGTGACATGGGAATGAGGACCCCTTTCAGAATGGAGATATGATAGTTAAAGTAGTGACATAGTCATAGGAACATACGATGTGTGGGCATTGTAGTTAAAGGTTGGAAACAAAGCACATTTCACAGATGTGCCTTTGGGCGTGTGCTGCTGAAAGAGCGCGTTTCTTGAAGAACATCTTAAAGACCAAACAGAAAGAGAAGACTGAAATACTAGTACTGACGAGGGCATTTGTGTTGGGCTAGTAACTAGGGACAGGCATCTAACCATCCAGGAGAGGTTCAGCTAAACTCTGGAAGATGGTCCGATCACTTTTGTCACGTCCAGCAATTCGTCCGAGACTTCAATGGATTTTGTTATCTTAAATACGGATTTTTGAATTGGTGTCACCTGCAGTGGGAGCGAGGGTCGAAGAGTCAAAGAAGTGTTGCAGTAGAGCAAGATTTGCAGGAAACTGATGTGTTAGCTGTTCGGCTGTGTTGTGACAGGATACACAGGCTACAGGATAATTGAATGTTTCCGTTGAAAGGGTTCGACAACACTTGGTGCTAAGGACACAGACAGGTAGAATTGGAACAATCAATAGGAATGAGTTGTGATTGTTGTGGCTGAGCCATGTATTTAAATGTACCGACAGATTTGATATCCCTTCTTCTATCTTGAAAGAGACACGATGAAGTAGTGGAAGCTTGAAGAGGACAGGGAAAGCGCATAAACATAATATGAGGTAGCAAGATATTCGATTTTCAGATAGGAGATGCGACAGACGATTGTTGATTTAAACCGTATCTAAAAAGCCTGATTTGAGTTCGTCCAGTTGTTGCTCAAAGCCATAAGCTTGTCGAATTTGTTTTGTGAGGAGCGAGAGAGGGGGGGAGTAGAGAGTAAAAGGAACGCAGATTGAGGTGTTTCTGTCGACTGTTTTTGTAACGGATTGCATTTCTGTCACGCAAGGCATAGAGATCAGAAGAACAATAGCTCTCACAGCTGGTTGTCCCCGTTAGTTCTCGCAAAGAGCTTAATTTTGCCTCCCGTGATTTCAGGGCCGGTGGTTGCCACTTTGGACGAGAAGCCACCCATCATACAATACTCATTAATTATTCATAGTCATTTTTATACCAAGCCAGCACCATTGGTGCCCATGGCAGGAAGTTCATTTCCAAGCTGGTCAATGCCCGCTGGATATCAAGCACTACTACACTTTGTCCTACCACTCAAAACCTAGTGGGGTGTGCGAAAGAGGAAAAATATACTACCCCGAACACGTGCTGGTCATTGTCAAACCAGTTTGGTCATTCCGAGGTCTTCAAAATACCAGAGCTAAGGAACACTCCTATCCCGTTGGTGATCAGGTGACATAATGACTGATCTCACAGTTAAATCTAAGGCCTTTCATTCAAAGTCTGAACGAAATGGACAGGACCTTACGGAACTATCCGCATTGATCTAAACCATGCATGAAAATACCTAACGCAAGCGCAAAGAAAGACAATAAATCCTTCATACATGTCACCGTATACACACACCTCGCAGACAAGTGTCACCGCAGCAGGCCCTCTGCCCAAACCCACTCAGTCATCGTGCTAACAGCTTCAGAATCCTCCTAGAAAAGCCTCTCAAGCAGCAACTCAGTGAGTATAAGTGATTACCATACTTATGGTACACCATCTGGTCACATACGGAAACGGACACAGATATTGTACACAGATAGTCGTAGGTCCACATGTCAGTCAGTGTGTTGCACGTGTGTAATCGTGGACGGTTTAATAATTGTAGGTGTCAGAAATATCCATGTTTTGAACGCGTTTGTGAAAACATCCAAAGTAAACGGCAGAAGTCTTGTCTGGGTTAGAACAGGTCTATGCAAGTTGTAAGAGGCTCACGATATCACTGGATTGTTTATTACAGACTTGAATAAATTCAGGCAGTTGTCACAGGGAATTCAGCAGAATGTGCAACGAACAAATGCTGCTATGTGTTGGCAGCTATGTAATAGTCTATAGCAAAATGCCGAGTCGACTGTGGCTACGATTTATCACCAACTGTGCACAGTGACAAATAACAATCGTTGAACACATGCAGTACTGGGTCGTTTTGTCGTACAAGATAACCATATGTGTTGGGTGATAGCATGGGAGGTATTCCTTATAAACCTTTATTATTATGTACTAGCTTAAATTTATGGAATAAATTTGACAACATTATTGAATCGGCTTAAGATGTTTCTAGCAAACTGGAAATTGTCGACGATTTTTCTCTCGATACAAAACATCTACGTCATGTCATAGCAGAACCCAACTAGAGTCATTCAAATTACAAGGACACTTTCAGGACCACGTGTCAAAACGTGGTGCGATAGAATCATATGAAACAATAGTATGGTTTTACGCCGTTTTTAGCAATATTCCAGCAATATCACGGCTTTGGACAACAGAAATGGGCTTCACACATTGTACCCATGCGGGGACTTCGGCGTGACGTACGAACGTTTAAAAAATAACCTCTTGATACACTATATCCCGTATAAAACAATACGCGATCACGAGGAGATATACATTTTCACAGAGAGGCATATTATCTAAGCTAAAGTCGCATTAATGGCACACCTGGCGCTATAAAGATGGTAATTATGATAAATGTACATGTAAGTAGTTCAGGTTAGTTGTCTTTGCTTCACGAGTGTAATGATGCTGCTGTAGTGTATGTTGTGTATTTTATGAACGCTTTAATGAGTATGCAAATCAATGCGTACCACCTGAAAATTGTGACAATGAGACCTAATAACAAACTATGGTATGTTGTTATGTCTGACGCGAATGTAAAAAAGTGTCATATCTAATTAGAGGCTGATTTGGTTAAACATAGAAAACAGCGTAACAAAGTGTTGGATAACATGAAATGCTTTGCCTTTGTTATTCAAAACTTGATGAAACATTTTTTTAACTTTCTGTCGTCAACAAAGTGTTTCGCAATATTGTAAAAGTCCTGGCTCAGCTTCTTACATTCAAGCTAAAACGAAGTATATACATAATGAAGGTCCAGTCGCTTTCAGAGATTCAGAAAATGAAAACATTTCAAACGAATATTTCGAATCAATTTCTGATGTTGGTGATGAAGAAAGCACGTGTTTATCGCTAATAGATGCTATGCTATGTTAGAAATCTTAGATATTTGTACATGTATATCACTTAGTTCAAGTCTGTGTACCAAGGACATGGAAACGAGCGACTGTTATGCCTCTATTCAAGAAAGGAGGATCATTCTTGTAAATCCCATTGTGTATTTAGATCATTCCTTTCTTTACAATTACATGATTATATTAATGATAAGCTGTGTTGAAAAGGTGTTTGAAAGGGTTGTCTTGAATAAACATTTTGTAAAACTATTTTCTTGAAAATACTCTGTAGCATAAATTTTAGTCTTGATTGGCTTATGTAAGTAATAACAAAGCAGTCGGTGTTTGTGAATGGAGATATGTCCAAGCCGAAAATGTTCAAGGTGGGCGTCCCACGGGGATCGATACTTGGCCCCTTCCTATTGATTGTTTATGTTGATCAAATATAGGAGATAAATTACATTGCATTACGAGATGACATCTCATAAGATGTCTTCACTGAAGAGTTAGTTTGAAAATCGATGAATGAAACAAACTTAACATCATTAAGTTGAGCTTCGGAATGGTTGATAAAATATAATCATGGAAAAATGGAGGAAAGATTTCCGCCCGTAACCGCCGTTTTTTTATCATTCTATGCCTAAGATCCATAGAAAGAATAGATGGGTTTTATAGGAAGCCTACCCAAACCCTAAACCTAAACCTAACATAATGCTAAATCTAAACCCTAAACCTAAACCCTAACCCCTTGAAATAAACATAATAAATAGAATACATTTCAAGCGGGGATTACGGGCGGAAATCTTACCAAAACGGAACAAAAGTCAAACTTTACTTTTGTAAGACTGAAGTTTTTCTAGGTTTTCAGAAACATTGGGTGTTAACCTGTTCTTCCAGTGTGAGTTGGTATCACCATGTTGATAATGTAGTCAAGAAAACATACAAAAATTATATGTGCTTTGAGAAAATCATAGTTCATCTTGAACAGAATGTATGCAGTTATTATAAGACCTCACTTGAATACACCAGAAACACAGTGTAACTTCAGAAACTCTCTCACCCACCGACGAGAGTGAGGCAATCGATTGGCATTGCAGGTCTCTCCATCAAAGAGAATCGCAATGGTTTTTAGATGTGTCCATATGTACATAGACCAAACTAAACGATTTCTCTGATTGTAAAGTATTCCTTCTATTCCTTACTCTCTGTGCGTATTTCCTGTTTCCCAATTTCTATTTATGTATAGTGCAAATACACCCGTGTAACTGATGGAAAACCGCTCGTCTATGCTGGATAACTTGATGCTTTCTTTCATGAATAAAATCAGTTAAGCAAACACTGCTGATCTATTACTTCCAAATCACTCTACCTAAGCTTTATCTACACGATTGTTATTTCTTGAGATGATTATGAAATGCTTCATGTTGGACGAGTCTACATATTTAGATAAACAGATGTTAAGATATGTTTTACTTTCATTGAGAAAATATTGTAGAAATATTGTTTCCAACTGCGGACTAAATGTACTACCTGGGTACCCCATATGAAGCTTGATTCTCTGTTTGGTGATGCGAACCTGCTCCACGTTGTCCTGGTCACTCTGCCTCAGCTGCAATCACAGATACAGTGTTCGTTGTTTATCTGTACTGCACAAGTTACCATCACATATATCCAGACATTCTCTTGTAAATATATTAGAAAAACAATTATGTAGTTCTAGTTATGCAATTATATTCTGTGAATATTCAATATTATAAATGAAGTAAAGGAATTATTTACAATAATAATAAAAGAATGAATAAAAGAATAGTAAAAGAATAGTTAAAATGCGTGACGTTAGAACATGATACCATCTACATTACAGTTTGGCAAGTTTTTATTTCATATGAAAGGGCACGTGCATTTTACAATGAAACTCATACACGGCGAAGGCTTACCATTTTCCGCATATATCGACGGCATTGTCTTGCCAGGCGGCGCAGATCAAAAGTAACGAGTTGGTGAGATTCTGGACGGTTACTCAAAGCCTGTGACAGTAGGAAACATTCACCTAATGACACAAACGTCACCTTACCTACTTAGTGTACCCTCACCCCAACAACTGAACTGTAACAGTATCCTATGCCTACTGTGTACCCTCACCCCAACAACTGAACTGTGACAGTATCCTATGCCTACTGTGTACCCTCACCCCAACCACTGAACTGTGACAGTAACCTATACCTACTGTGTACCCTCACCCCAACCACTAAACTGTGACAGTATCCTATGCCTACTGTGTACCCTCACCCCAACCACTAAACTGTGACAGTAACCTATACCTACTGTGTACCCTCACCCCAACCACTAAACTGTAACAGTATCCTATGCCTACTGTGTACCCTCACCCCAACCACTAAACTGTGACAGTAACCTATACCTACTGTGTACCCTCACCCCAACAACTGAACTGTGACACTAACCTATACCTACTGTGTACCCTCACCCCAACAACTGAACTGTGACACTAACCTATACCTACTGTGTACCCTCACCCCAACCACTGAACTGTGACACTAACCTATACCTACTGTGTACCCTCACCCCAACAACTGAACTGTGACAGTATCCTATGTCTACTGTGTACCCTCACCCCAACCACTGAACTGTGACAGTAACCTATACCTACTGTGTACCCTCACCCCAACCACTAAACTGTGACACTAACCTATACCTACTGTGTACCCTCACCCCAACCACTAAACTGTGACAGTAACCTATACCTATTGTGTACCCTCACCCCAACAACTGAACTGTGACACTAACCTATACCTACTGTGTACCCTCACCCCAACAACTGAACTGTGACAGTATCCTATGTCTACTGTGTACCCTCACCCCAACCACTGAACTGTGACAGTATCCTATACCTATTGTGTACCCTCTCCCCTACCACTAAACTGTGACAGTAACCTATACCTATTGTGTACCCTCACCCCAACCACTAAACTGTGACAGTATCCTATACCTACTGTGTACCCTCACCCCAACCACTAAACTGTGACACTAACCTATACCTATTGTGTACCCTCACCCCAACCACTAAACTGTGACAGTAACCTATATCTACTTAGTGTACCCTCACCCCAACCACTAAACTGTGACACTAACCTATACCTATTGTGTACCCTCACCCCAACAACTGAACTGTGACACTAACCTATACCTACTGTGTACCCTCACCCCAACCACTAAACTGTGACAGTAACCTATACCTACTGTGTACCCTCACCCCAACAACTGAACTGTAACAGTATCCTATGCCTACTGTGTACCCTCACCCCAACCACTGAACTGTGACAGTAACCTATACCTACTGTGGACCCTCACCCCAACCACTAAACTGTGACAGTAACCTATACCTACTGTGTACCCTCACCCCAACCACTGAACTGTGACAGTAACCTATGCCTACTGTGTACCCTCACCCGAACAACTGAACTGTGACAGTAACCTATACCTACTGTGTACCCTCATCCCAACCACTAAACTGTGACAGTAACCTATGCGTACTGTGTACCTTCACCCCAACAACTGAACTGTGACAGTAACCTATACCTACTGTGTACCCTCATCCCAACCACTAAACTGTGACAGTAACCTATACCTACTTAGTGTACCCTCACCCCTACCACTGAACTGTGACAGTAACCTATATCTACTTAGTGTACCCTCACCCCAACCACTCAACTGTGACAGTAACCTATACCTACTGTGTACCCTCACCCCAACCACTAAACTGTGACAGTAACCTATGCCTACTGTGTACCCTCACCCCAACAACAGAACTGTGACACTACCCTATACCTACTGTGTACCCTCACCCCAACCACTAAACTGTGACAGTAACCTATACCTATTGTGTACCCTCACCCCAACAACTGAACTGTGACACTAACCTATACCTAATGTGTACCCTCACCCCAACCACTGAACTGTGACAGTATCCTATGTCTACCGTGTACCCTCACCCCAACCACTGAACTGTGACAGTATCCTATACCTATTGTGTACCCTCTCCTTTACCACTAAACTGTGACAGTAACCTATACCTATTGTGTACCCTCACCTCAACCACTAAACTGTGACAGTATCCTATACCTACTGTGTACCCTCACCCCAACCACTAAACTGTGACACTAACCTATACCTATTGTGTACCCTCACCCCAACCACTAAACTGTGACAGTAACCTATATCTACTTAGTGTACCCTCACCCCAACCACTAAACTGTGACACTAACCTATACCTATTGTGTACCCTCACCCCAACAACTGAACTGTGACACTAACCTATACCTACTGTGTACCCTCACCCCAACCACTAAACTGTGACAGTAACCTATACCTACTGTGTACCCTCACCCCAACAACTGAACTGTAACAGTATCCTATGCCTACTGTGTACCCTCACCCCAACCACTGAACTGTGACAGTAACCTATACCTACTGTGGACCCTCACCCCAACCACTTAACTGTGACAGTAACCTATACCTACTGTGTACCCTCACCCCAACCACTGAACTGTGACAGTAACCTATGCCTACTGTGTACCCTCACCCCAACAACTGAACTGTGACAGTAACCTATACCTACTGTGTACCCTCATCCCAACCACTAAACTGTGACAGTAACCTATGCGTACTGTGTACCTTCACCCCAACAACTGAACTGTGACAGTAACCTATACCTACTGTGTACCCTCATCCCAACCACTAAACTGTGACAGTAACCTATACCTACTTAGTGTACCCTCACCCCTACCACTGAACTGTGACAGTAACCTATACCTACTGTGTACCCTCACCCCAACCACTAAACTGTGACACTAACCTATACCTACTGTGTACCCTCACCCCAACCACTAAACTGTGACAGTAACCTATACCTATTGTGTACCCTCACCCCAACAACTGAACTGTGACACTAACCTATACCTACTGTGTACCCTCACCCCAACAACTGAACTGTGACAGTATCCTATGTCTACTGTGTACCCTCACCCCAACCACTGAACTGTGACAGTATCCTATACCTATTGTGTACCCTCTCCCCAACCACTAAACTGTGACAGTAACCTATACCTATTGTGTACCCTCACCCCAACCACTAAACTGTGACAGTAACCTATACCTACTGTGTACCCTCACCCCAACCACTAAACTGTGACAGTAACCTATACCTATTGTGTACCCTCACCCCAACCACTAAACTGTGACAGTAACCTATACCTACTGTGTACCCTCACCCCAACCACTAAACTGTGACAGTATCCTATGCCTACTGTGAACCCTCACCCAAACAACGGAACTGTGACACTAACCTATACCTACTGTGTACCCTCACCCCAACCACTAAACTGTGACAGTAACCTATGCCTACTGTGTACCCTCACCCCAACCACTGAACTGTGACAGTAACCTATACCTACTGTGTACCCTCACCCCAACCACTAAACTGTGACAGTATCCTATGCCTACTGTGTACCCTCACCCCAACCACTAAACTGTGACAGTAACCTATACCTACTGTGTACCCTCACCCCAACCACTGAACTGTGACAGTATCCTATGCCTACTGTGTACCCTCACCCCAACCACTGAACTCTGACAGTAACCTATACCTACTGTATACCCTCATCCCAACCACTAAACTGTGACAGTAACCTATACCTACTGTGTACCCTCACCCCAACCACTAAACTGTAACAGTATCCTATGCCTACTGTGTACCCTCACCCCAACCACTAAACTGTGACAGTAACCTATACCTACTGTGTACCCTCACCCCAACAACTGAACTGTGACACTAACCTATACCTACTGTGTACCCTCACCCCAACAACTGAACTGTGACAGTATCCTATGTCTACTGTGTACCCTCATCCCAACAACTGAACTGTGACACTAACCTATACCTACTGTGTACCCTCACCCCAACCACTAAACTGTGACAGTAACCTATACCTACTGTGTACCCTCACCCCAACCACTGAACTGTGACAGTAACCTATACCTACTGTGTACCCTCACCCCAACCACTGAACTGTGACAGTATCCTATGCCTACTGTGTACCCTCACCCCAACAACTGAACTGTGACACTAACCTATACCTACTGTGTACCCTCACCACAACCACTAAACTGTGACAGTAACCTATGCCTACTGTGTACCCTCACCCCAACCACTAAACTGTGACAGTAGCCTATGCCTACTGTGTACCCTCACCCCAACCACTGAACTGTGACACTAACCTATACCTACTGTGTACCCTCACCCCAACCACTAAACTGTGACAGTAACTTATGCCTACTGTGTACCCTCACCCCAACCACTAATCTGTGACAGTAACCTATACCTACTGTGTACCCTCACCCCAACCACTGAACTGTGACAGTATCCTATGCCTACTGTGCACCCTCACCCCAACCACTGAACTCTGACAGTAACCTATACCTACTGTGTACCCTCATCCCAACCACTAAACTGTGACACTAACCTATACCTACTTAGTGTACCCTCACCCCAACCACTAAACTGTGACACTAACCTATGCCTACTGTGTACCCTCACCCCAACCACTAAACTGTGACAGTAACCTATACCTACTGTGTACCCTCATCCCCACAACAACTGAACTGTGATCTCATCCCAACCACTAAACTGTGACACTAACCTATACCTACTTAGTGTACCCTCACCCCAACCACTAAACTGTGACACTAACCTATGCCTACTGTGTACCCTCATCCCAACCACTAAACTGTCACACTAACCTATACCTACTTAGTGTACCCTCCACCCAACCACTAAACTGTGACACTAACCTATGCCTACTGTGTACCCTCACCCCAACCACTAAACTGTGACAGTAACCTATGCCTACTGTGTACCCTCACCCCAACAACTGAACTGTGACAGTAACCTATACCTACTGTGTACCCTCACCCCAACCACTAAACTGTGACACTAACCTATGCCTACTGTGTACCCTCACCCCAACCACTAAACTGTGACACTAACCTATACCTACTGTGTACCCTCACCCCAACCACTAAACTGTGACACTAACCTATGCCTACTGTGTACCCTCACCCCAACCACTGAACTGTGACAGTAACCTATACCTACTGTGCACCCTCACCCCAACCACTAAACTGTGACAGTAACCTATACCTACTGTGTACCCTCACCCCAACCACTGAACTGTGACACTAACCTATACCTACTGTGTACCCTCACCCCAACCACTAAACTGTGACAGTAACCTATACCTACTGTGTACCCTCACCCCAACCACTAAACTGTGACAGTAACATATATCTACTTAGTGTACCCTCACCCAACCACTAAACTGTGACAGTAACCTATACCTACTGTGTACCCTCACCCCAACCACTGAACTGTGACACTAACCTATACCTACTGTGTACCCTCACCCCAACCACTAAACTGTGACAGTAACCTATATCTACTTAGTGTACCCTCACCCAACCACTAAACTGTGACAGTAACCTATACCTACTGTGTACCCTCACCCCAACCACTAAACTGTGACACTAACCTATACCTACTTAGTGTACCCTCACCCCAACCACTAAACTGTGACAGTAACCTATACCTACTGTGTACCCTCTCCCCTACCACTGAACTTTGACAATATCCTATGCCTACTGTGTACCCTCTCTCCTACCACTGAACTTTGACAATATCCTATGCCTACTGTGTACCCTCTCTCCTACCACTGAACTGTGACACTAACCTATGCCTACTGTGTACCCTCACCCCAACCACTAAACTGTGACACTAACCTATACCTACTGTGTACCCTCACCCCAACCACTAAACTGTGACACTAACCTATACCTACTGTGTACCCTCACCCCAACCACTAAACTGTGACAGTAACCTATACCTACTGTGTACCCTCATCCCAACCACTAAACTGTGACACTAACCTATACCTACTGTGTACCCTCACCCCTACCACTAAACTGTGACACTAACCTATACCTACTGTGTACCCTCACCCCTACCACTAAACTGTGACACTAACCTATACCTACTGTGTACCCTCACCCCAACCACTAAACTGTGACACTAACCTATACCTACTGTGTACCCTCACCCCTACCACTAAACTGTGACACTAACCTATACCTACTGTGTACCCTCACCCCAACCACTAAACTGTGACAGTAACCTATACCTACTGTGTACCCTCACCCCAACCACTAAACTGTGACAGTAACCTATGCCTACTGTGTACCCTCTCCCCTACCACTGAACTTTGACAATATCCTATGCCTACTGTGTACCCTCTCTCCTACCACTGAACTGTGACGGTATCCTATGCCTACTGTGTACCCTCTCTCCTACCACTGAACTGTGACAGTAACTTATGCCTACTGTGTACAATCTCCCCTACCACTGAACCGTGACTTAATGCTTTGCCTACTGTATTCCTCTCCCCTAACACAAAATTGTGACAGTAACCTATGCCTATGGTATTTTCCTCTCCATACCTCTGAAATGTGACTTAGTCTTACATGGTTACATTTTTCACAAGTATATATTTCACAAAGAACTGTTATGTGTTATATGTTATGTAAGCGTGTGAATGAGTATGGTTTTACGCCGTTTTAGCAATATTCCAGCAATATCACAGCGGAAGACAAGAGAAATGTGCATTACACACGATTCAAATGTGGGGAATTGAACCTAGGCTTCAGGATAACAAGAAGCTGAGAATAGGATGTAAAGGAATGGCAATAACTGTACCATCTACTACAGGAGTGAGTTGAACATCACCTAACATACTTGCCTTCATTAAAATACAAATACATGTAACACCGTCCTCAGATATTTCTTAGTGAAATTAGCCATTTCAATATCTTTGTGTTGTGGAGGTAGATTAAAAACTCTACACACGCGTCATGAATATACGGACTGAGATACCACTTTTTGGTATTGCAATCGATTTGATTGTTACAACGTATACAATAGTTATTTAAATATGGTAAAACATCGCAATACATGTTTTGCTTTTAAAACTATTGCAAACTATACCTCTTGAAGAGAATCGTAGAGCCATTGAGTGAACTCATGTCGCAGTCAATGAGATGACCGGCTTTCGAAAAGAAGGCGTACACCACGCTGTTCCCGTCCGAGTAGAGCCGGGCAGTGCCGTCCCCGTCCTTGTAGGTCAGTAACAGCCCACTCTCAGGTCGACTGTCACACGGGGAAACCATCAGTCCGAACACAGTGACAATAAATATGTTCCACATCTTCTAAAGCATCCGCTCACTCACGACAGATGAGAACAGACAGATGTCTTACAGGTCATGGTATCATGAGATAAGGGATATCTCAACCAGAGGATTGGCCAGACTTACGACCAGGTAGTCAGTTAGTTGGACGTCTGCCTCAACGCCTAGGTGCTCAATTAGTTAGTCGTCTGCCTATCTACGTCAAGGCAGCAAAGTAGTTTGACGTCTGTTCAACGATCAGCTGGTCAAGTGGGTTAACGTCTGCCTCTACGATCAGCTGGTCAAGTGGTTTAACGTCTGCCTTTACGATCAGCTGGTCAAGTGGTTTAACGTCTGCCTCTACGATCAGCTGGTCAAGTGGTTTAACGTCTGCCTCTACGATCAGCTGGGTGCCGTTGTACAAAGCGATCTTAGCGCTAAGGTGACTGTAACTCCCATACTTTAACATAGACTTAAGGTAGCCTTGGCGCTAAGGATGTTTTGTACAACGGCACCCTGGTCAAGTCGTTTAACGTCTGACTCAAGGACAAGGTGTTCAAGCAGTTTAACGTCTGACTCAACGACAAGGAGGTCAAGTAGTTTAACCTCTGCCTCGACGATCAGCTGGTCAAGTGGTTTAACGTCTGACTCAAGGACAAGGTGAACAAGTAGCTTGACTTCTGACTCAACGACAAGGTAGTCAAGTGGTTTAACGTCTGTGTATTCATTCAATTGAATTCTTTATTGCATGAAAGGCCATAAGCTCATATGCAGTTACAGAGCTCTATTATCATATATATTATCCAATATTGGGTATGTGTTCAATCCTTACCACATATACAAGATGAATAAATAGGGCTATTCGGGGATGTTTTGATTGTTCGTTAACGTCTGACTGTTAGGACGGTTAGGGAGGTAGTATTTTACGATAGACATTTGTGATAAATAATGTTTCTTGAGATGCCAAATAAACCTAAAATGAAATTCGTCTTCAATAGCGTTACAGAATGGACTGAATCTTTCGGTTGTAATTATTGTTCAGCCTAAACGTATAAAGACATTACAAATGCCTAGAATAACTCAATTTTCATAATGTTATATACTAAACGCCCAAAGAAACGTTACTCTCCTTCCTTAATGGCGGAGGAACCTATCTTCAGCTGGCGTTGTGATGCGTGGACGTCCACTTCTTGGTCTGTGACGGTGACCCTAGTTTGTCTGAAGCCCTGACATGATACGGTGGCATCCGAGGGCGTTGGCAACAACATTGTATGTTCACCCCATCTGCACCATCCCAATGGCTCTTTCTCTCTCTTCAGCTGTTAATCGTAGCATACATTGGTGGTATTTCTCGTACTTGTGTATCATTTCATGTATTCTAGGCTCTCTTCATACCCTATAGAATCATTCTACATGTGAAATGGATGCAAATATTGTTTGAATATTGCTGCGTTTTGACGATTGATATTGTTATGTGTAAACAGAAAATGGAAAAATGTTACTTTGCAAGCAAATATGTTAACAAAGATGATTTCAGATGTTCCTAAACATTTCTTCAAAATATCAAAGACACGTTTTACTTGTTTTCACTAATTCAGAAATGATTTAAAAGGCTGAAATCATAGGAATGATTATTTTACTATTTTGCACACTCTGTAGTTGAAAAATGGTGACTTTAAATGGTTTGTCTTTGTCTCAAAGCAGACTTTTATTTCAACCTTTCTTTTGGATATCTAAATCACTGTTATTGATTTATTTTGGCATGGACGGAAACAGAGCAATTTAACTCTCAAATGCATTTCACCTAAATATAACCTTTTTCGTGATTTGCATAAAGCTGTGATGTTAAGCTTTATTGTGAACTAATACCTTCTAACATATCTTTGATAGATCTTAAGGAATTCATAAAGGTAGGAGGTTAACGTTTCTTTTGGCGTTTAGTGTATAGGAATTTGTTATTGTATCCAAATTTCTGGGGGGAGTCGTCAACACTAATGTACAAGGGAATATTGAAAATATATACTTAGAAAATATGGGAGGGAGGGCGCATTGATTTTGTACATGGAGTCACTTACTTTGTACATACATTTGGGGGTTGGGGGGTGGGAGGTGCATTCACATTGTATATGCTTCACCATGAAATTCATCTTCATGTGAATTTCCTGTTTGGTATGTGGGAGCTCAATGTACTTGGTCTAAACTATCAGTTGTGGGACTTCCCTTTCTGTGGATTTTTGTGGGTTGGAATGCTGTCTGTCTGTGCTGTTGAATAGGTGCCTCACTCTGTAATCGTGAATTCAAATCCTGGATAGGACTCAAAGCAAACAGTACTGAGAAAATGTAATCCCAATTATATCATGTTGCATTTTAGTAGTTCTCCGACAAAGCGGATGTGTGTGTTTTTTAAAGTATCGTTCTCTGCACACTGGGGTGCTGCTGTACAGGCGACACTGACGTGTTGGTTCTGATGCCTCTATACAAGTGACGTGATGCAATAGTACAAGCGATACTGACGTGTTGATTGTGATGCCTCTATACAAGTGACCTGATGCTATTGTACAGGCGACACTAACGTGTTGATTGTGATGCCTCTATACAAGTGACGTGATGCTATTGTACAGGCCATACTGACGTGTTGATTGTGATGCCTCTGTACAAGTGACATGATGCTATTGTACAGGCGATACTGACGTGTTGATTGTGATGCCTCTGTACAAGTGACGTGATGCTATTGTACAGGCCATACTAACGTGTTGATTGTGATGCCTCTATACAAGTGACCTGATGCTATTGTACAGGCCATACTGACGTGTTGATTGTGTTGCCTCTATACAAGTGACGTGATGTTATTGTACAGGCCATACTGACATGTTGGTCCTGATGCCTCTGTACAAGTGACGTGATGCTATTGTACAGGCCATTCTGATGTGTTGATTGTGATCCCTCCGTACAAGTGACTTGAGGCTTTTGTACAGGCGACACTGACGTTTTGATTGTGATGCCTCTGTACAAGTGACGTGATGCTACTGTACAGGCGACACTGACGTGTTGATCGTGATGCATCTGTACAAGTGACCTGATGCTATTGTACAGCTGGTGATTTCAGTCCTGTAGCCTTATCGTTCAGTGTCCAGTTATGGGTGTACTGCTGCTGGTCACCAGCCACAAGTAATAATATGACATGGTGTTTCAGATTGAGATTTTATTGATATTTTTCACACATTATGTACATAAATAATGTAGGTTTTCCACTTACATAACAGTGTTTGGAAGGACAACCAAATGGCAGTGTTGCAATTTACAACCATGTATGACAGGTGATGGAATGACAAAACACAAAGTAAGGCACATCACATTTTAAATCGTTGCCATTTCAGATAATTTCCAGATATACAGCAAAAACTACAATAGTCATGAGACTTCTTTACTAGTTGGAAGATAAAATACATAACAAATACTTAACAATGTTGTCTTGGACTACTGGGATACACAACAGCTGTACGACTGCTGCCATTTCCACACATTGCCTGCATGCATTGTCTCCCTTGTAAACAAAATAAATGAAAAAAAGAGAAACAGAAACCAGGTTACAGTGACAATAAAAGCACTATGATTATATAACAATACAGTACAGTTTGACTGGCGCATCTCCTCATTCCACAGAAACTGACTTATGATCTTTGGGCAAGATGAGTGAGTCAAAGATTGTTTGAAACATTAACAACAAGCTAAATACACACAACAGAACACATTTCCAGGTAAAGTGTTGGTGGAAGTTTGACTCAAAATCATGCATGACTATAAACACTACAAGGCCAAACAGCAAAGCAATGCTGATATCAGAGGAGCTTTGGTACTGGTATTTTTGGCTGCCACCACTAAACAAAACGGTGTCTAACAGTCCTTTACAGGTTCAGTTTTCAGCTTGATGAGTGAACACTTTGTTGCATGATCTAATATATATGTACTCAAATTCGAAAGCAACTGTCTCACAAAGTTTTGCATATTGATTGTATTTATCAACATTCCATGTTGCATGCATTTTCTCATGCATACAAAGTGCTATGCTGATCTGAGATCCACTAGGAAAACATCATGAGACAGAGAGTAGCTCTGTAGTCAAAATCTAAATGTTCATAGAGGAGCATGACAGAGGTACAGTCAGCATAGCTCTCCTAGAGGCTATGTTCATGCCTGTAAGGTCTCCTGATATCAGAAGCTACACTGAGGTCAGTAACAATAATGATTTGAGATGAACTGTGCTGATCTAAAACATAAAACTGGAGAGTAAAAACTGGTATAATTCACATACTAGTTAGAAAGGCCATGTCAACAGAAGCACCAAGAACAAATGTAAGCAAATCCACTCACATCAGCTTCTAGTCAGCTTGAATGTCAAATAGTTACCAAGCCAATGCTTAAAGAATCATATCTTTAAAAATCTCTCACAAACACACATCATTAATACACCATATATTCAGAAATTTGACTCAACTATTTCAAGTTAAAAAGACCAAAGGAAATGTTGAGCCTGACTTTATTAAGTCCATTCTTGTTGGGGTCATCAACATACACTATACATCAACAACATATAACAGTAGGATAAATAGGTTTCTTCATATACATAACATTTAAAATGTTTGTAAACAAAGTATAAACTTGACAGCAATGGATATCTATTTACAAAACATTCACAACATAAAACTGTAGCTCTTCAGATGGGTAAGACCTATGATCTTTGCACCAAAATAAATAGGTACTGTAAATCATGAAATGAAAAGTTTATGTGAAAAATGCTTGGGTCCCTTGTGCACATAAAGAAAGTGACATATTTATTTCTGAACAATATTGAAGTATATTGTTATGTTATGTTCAATGCACATGGATGGAAAACACGATGTCTGTGATATAGCCTACAGTAACCATTGTCATTGCGAGCTAGGTTGAGATAGAGCTTCTCAAGTTCTCTACAAAAAGTTATGACAGTCGTCCATGGTAATCTTGTCAGATAATAGTAATATTGCGAGCAAGATGCAGCTTAATCATTTGGCAAAGATTTCCTACAGCCTATTTGTATAACAACACTTGAGAAATCTTTGCAAGTGAATATCTCATCTCAAGTTTATGTAGATAACAAAGGTTATTTAATGAAATTATTACTCTGTAATAATTTGACTTCTTTCCTATTATAGTTCAAGGGCATAGCAACACACATCAATTTAATGATGCCTTTTTGGCCCAGACTTTCATAATCATATTAATCTGCTGATCCATTAGTTTCATGATGGACAGTATATGGTATAAATGGGTCGATACTGTCAGAAAACATGAACACATTCGGCTTATTAGCTAATTATTGTATCACGCACAATGCATAAATCCAGTCTCCATCAGTGGCCTCTCTCAAAGTCTGTAACTATACCCTTTAATTGAGTACACTCCTTACACTACTCTCCCCCCTCAGGTGAGTACCCTCCTTTAACTACTGTTCCCCCTCAGATGAGTACCCTCCTTACACTACTATACTCCCTCAGGTGAGTACCCTCCTTACGCTACTGTCCCCCCTCAGGTGAGTACTCTCCTTACTCTGCTGTCCCCCCTCAGGTGAGTACACTCCTTACTCCACTATCCCCCCTCAGGTGAGTACACTCCTTACACTACTGTCCCCCCTAAGGTGAGTACACTCCTTACTCTACTGTCCCCCTCTACATCGTGAACTTACACCAACACACTGCAGTAATACTGGTGTAAATTCTCACAATGTGAACTTACACCAATACACTGCAGTAAGACTGGTGTAAATTCTCACATCGTGAACTTACACCAACACACTGCAGTAAGACTGGTGTAAATTCTCACAACGTGAACTTACACCAACACACTGCAGTAAGACTGGTGTAAATTCTCACATCGTGAACTTACACCAACACACTGCAGTAAGACTGGTGTAAATTCTCACAACGTGAACTTACACCAACACACTGCAGTAAGACTGGTGTAAATTCTCACAATGTGAACTTACACCAATACACTGCAGTGAGACTGATGTAAGTTCACACATTATGCTGATCTGGGCAGCTTGAGGTTTGCTCACTTATTCACGGGTCCAGAGACCCTAGAGATAATCAACAGGGTTATGACAAAGACCAAAGACTTTCATGCTAAATTTCAAACACAGCACTAGAGCAGGAACAAAAATAAATATAAAACATTGATCAACTGGAACAAAATGTACATTCAAACTTTGAACAAGGCTATAAACGGATAATATTGCAGTTCAGCATTGATGTTATTATCTCAAAACAAATGTGTTGGGAGTGTTTCAAATGATAAATGCATAAAATGGCAGTAAAATGGTGAAATATATTTCAAAATGCATGTTAAGAGATCAAAACGAAATACTTTAAGGAATTAAATGGCATAGCATTGTGGCCATCCAGTTAGGTCTGAGCAGCAGACAGTGTGCGATTTGGAGTGGTTAGACTGAGCAGCGTTGCGGTCAGTGTTCCTGGCGATGGTGACCGCAGCCCAGCAACTGGACTAGAGGTGTACACACATGTCCCATGGTAGGAGGCCCCGTGCAGACCAGCAAACACTGCAACATATGGTCAGGAAACAATCACCTCTGTTCGTCATCAGCATGTCACAAGTACACAATTAGAAAAGGTTATCAACTGCATGTGTTTCAACCACAGTCAAAACATCTGTATGACTTAAGCCTGCTTATCAAATTTACATAGAATCTTTTATTTGCAGAATTATTATTATTCACATTGTCAGTACTCTTAATGTACAATTTGTACAACTTGCTTGACCATGTTATCTACCTTGAATCACTGCCGAACGAAGCAACACATCAAACCCGCACAGTATACTTAATACAACAAAGCATTTAGGAAACATCAACCTAAAGATTATTTCATGATTTACATTACAAAAAATGGTACGATTGTCAGAATTATTTATAATAAACATCTGACACTGGGCTCTCAGCAGTTTTACTTCTTTCCCTAACTATCTCTAGAGTGTAGCAAGTGTTGTCGGTCATGATCAGTGTCAATAAAAAAAATTACCCCGCTACCTAGGCTGATCCTAGGACAAGGCGCTACCTGAACTGCTGGAGGAGCCTGATGATGCCACAGGTGATCCCACAGCTGCCATAGCAACATGGGGGCTCATGTCAATGTTGAGGTCATTAGCAAGATCATCATCCCACAGGCCATGCTGCAACACAAACAACTCGACTGAATCTCAGGGAATATGCACATTTGGATCAGGATACACTTCTGACTCAATATACACGTCTGACTCAAGATGCTCAAGATACACGTCTGACTCGAAAAGTACACGTCTGACACAATGTACAAGATGAATCTCATGATGCAGACAGAGCTTTCACCAAATATTTTGTTGCTCCACATTAGAAATGCTCCCCTCAACCCAATGAGCCTTTCCCCAGGAAATAATCCCACCATTTGATCACTAGCAGACCCACAGGACTTGTCTGCAAGAAACAACATGGATTACCTGCATGGCAAGATCTGACAGAGAGGGATCAAGGGTGAAGTTGGAGTCAAGGACATTGAGATCACGAAGTTCTGATGCGAAGAGATCATCAGTTTTGGCTGGTGTGTGTGAGTTGGCAGTGGTGTCTGACGGGGTGCATGGAGATGGTGGTCGAGCCGTTGGTGTGGTAGGCTCCATGTGTAGCCCAGCTTCACCTCGCTCAATCTTCTCAAGCCTCTCTGTGTCATAGAAAAAGAATAAGCATGAAGTATTATCATGAAAGTCTAGTGCAAAACTATACTTGATTCTTTATTTTGTACAGCCACATAAACACAAGCTGTTTGTTGACTCACCCGGGGGTATGCCATGCTGCTGTGTAAAGCGACAGGGTCCTTCTTGCTCCCTTTGGCTATTTCTTCCTCCATCTTGTCTTTCTTGGCTGGATTGAGAGCCCACAGGCATCCCTTCTTGGCATTACTGCTCAGTTTAGGGTTGTCCACTTTCTCAAAACACTTGTTCAGAGATAGATTGTGCCGTACAGAATTCTGGAAATTTTGCATAAGCAGCACCATATGGTTATAAAGCAAAATTTTACCAATTTTCAAAGCATCTTCATACAAACTTTGTTTCTTTACAAATTAAAAATTATCATGGAAGGTGTCCTGCAGAAACAACAATATCCTCACACCTCAACAAGACCTACAATACACACCTCAAAAACTAGTCCTTCAATACAGACCTCACTACTCAAAAAGTAGTCCTTCAATACACACCTCACACCTAAAAAAACTGGTCCTTCAATACACACCTCACACCTTAAAAACTAGTCCTTCAATACACACCTCACACCTAAAAAAACTAGTCCTTCAATACACACCTTCCTCACACCTAAAAAACTAGTCCTTCAATACATACCTCACACCTTAAAAAATATGTAATTTTTTGAGTAAAATTGATATTTTATACTTATCCTGACTCATGCTCTTTTGCTTGTCTTCTTCTTCTTGCGAACATAGTGGAACACTTGTATCTCTTGAAGCTCCCTTCAATGTAAAATCACTAATTGGTACTCACCAAGAGTTGCCTCCCTTGCCCTTTTGGCGGGAACAGGTGTCGCCACCCTCTGGCCTCATGCTTCACTCTCTCCTGATTTTGCGAACCCAACACTTGAATTTACAGGGAAATCCAAAGTGTTATGTGGGGAGGATGGGAGGGCTAACCTCATGAGTCAGGATAAGTATAAAATATCAATTTTACTCAAAACATTACATATTTTTCCTTATCCTGACTCATGCTCTTTTGCTTGTAGAATCCTACGGAAACGGAGGTGGGCAAAACAGAATACTTTGGATTTATAGAATTAGTGATTTATATAGATATAACTGTAATAACCCCCTACGGGAACTTCATAAAGGCATAGACTTAGGATAATTCCTCTATTATAAGCCATAGGTTATAATGCCATACTGGGGTATTTACATTAATAATATACTGAGATATTATAAACAACAATATCAAAGCGACTCTGATAGAGAAGCTATACCACTGAACATATATACATACTGCTAGAACTCCGTAGAGTTATAAGCTAGATAATGCATGTAACAATTATGCATATTAATCTCGTAAGACTACGTGTTAACGTTTACGAGGGACTGTCAACTGCTGTGCGAGGACCAAGGGACCGAAATGGTGAATGCCTGAGACGCCCCTCGGTGGTGATATCTCTCAGGTAGTGATTAGCAAACACCATGTTAGATTTCCAAAAGCATCCTTCCATAATTGTATTCAATGAACAGTTACCGTGTAGGGCGAGAGTGGAAGCTAAAGCCCTGATCTCATGGGGATTTGATGCTGTTGGAGGGTCCAGTCCTGCTGCCTTGTAGGCACGAAGTATGACAGTTCTTATCCATATAGATATGGTGGTACGAGAGACTTCTGTCTGAGTTGTTGCCGACAAGGGGATGAATAATCGTTTGAGAAATCTTCGCCTTGTTTTGGAACGTCGTAAATAGATTTTGAGAGCTCTGCATAGAGATAAGTCCAGTGTATCTTGAGATCCGAGAATGGAGGATAATGCAGGGATATGAAATAACCTGTCTGGTTGACCTGGTAGTTGATTTTTGGCGATGAAATCCCATCTTAGTCCCAGGTGTGCTGTGTTTTGATTGTCATCAAACTGTATCCTCTCATAATCTAGTGCGTGAATTTCCGACATCCTGGCTGCTGTGGCTAGAGATAACAGGAAAAGCGTTTTCTGTGAGAGAAATTCAAAGTTTGTCGATTCCAACGGTTCATAAGCCTCACTTGTGAGGTGTTGTAACACTATATTCAGATCCCAAGCTGGGGCGTGGAACTTCCGCTTTTGGTCCTCCAATCGGAAAGCACGTAGTAAGGCCAGTAACTCTGGAGTTTTAGTCAATTTGACACCCGTTCTCATGGTAATCACAGAACTAAGCGCGGCAAGATATGTTGACAATGTCGAGCCTTTTAAATGTTTGTTTTGCCGTAAGTAACACAAATAATCTGCCACTTGTGGATGAGTAGCATCTCTTGCTGTAAATCCCTTATTTGCTGCGTAATTCTCAAAACTGTGCCACTTGTCGTCGTACAAGTTACGTGTAGAATTGCGTAAGGCAAGCGTGACCGCTTTTGCCGCCCTGGTAGAATACCCTCTCTTGTTTAAACACATTTTAATACAGTCCATACGTGAAGTTGGAATACTTCTGGGCTTCCGTGCACCTGTTTGGTGTGTGGATGTATTAATAGATTTGAGCGCTTGGGTAGCTCTAGTGTTGGTTGACCGATTTCTTGAATTAGAATGGGAAACCACGTTCTGGCCGGCCAGTAGGGCGCGACCAAAGTGAGTTGGAGGCTCTGTGTTTGTCTGATTTTCTGTAACACTTGAGGTATTATTGCTGGCGGCGGAAACGCGTACGCATTGAGGCCTTCCCAGGATATGCTTAGAGCGTCCGTTGCCCATGCTTGTGGGTCTGGGACTGGTGACACGAATGTCGGTAGCTGATTGTTGAAGCGTGTGGCGAATATATCTACTAGCGGCGCTCCTATTTGCTTGATTATCTGTGCAAATATTTCTGTATTGAGCATCCATTCTGTCGGTGACGGTTGATGTGGCCGAGAGAGTGCATCTGCTAATACATTCTTGGCTCCGGGAATGTGACATGCTCTGACATGTAGGTTTAGATCGTGGATTAGATCGAACAGTTGAAAGCTTAAAGTCAATAGGTTCAGTGATCTCGTTAAACCTTGTTTGTTTACACCACTGTCGAGTTGTCGGTATGAATCATTAAGTGCGCATTCTGTAGAATGGTGCTCCAATGAAGTATGGCGTTGATTACAGCTTTCATCTCTAACATGTTTATATGGAGCTTGCTTTCTTGCTGATTCCATAACCCTGATGAGCTCCCCAACCTTGGAGCGATGCGTCTACATATAGATGGGTTTTGAATTCCTGCTCTTCTAAACAAATACCTTCGCAGACATTCGACCTCCTGGTCCACCATAGTAGATGAGGTCTGAGACGTTTCAGTAGACTGAATGGTTGTAGGTCATCGAGATGTGCATTGATGAAGACCTGTAATGGGCGTAACTGTAATCTGCCTGAGACTGTCATGTCTTGGGCTGATGTGAGGAGACCCAACAAGCTCTGCCATTGTCGTAGTGGTAACGGAGAGAGTAGAGCTGGCGGAATGGTCTGTTGGATCTTGAGCCAACGGTCTTCTGGTACGACGATACGGTTGTGATTCGTGATAAATCGAATGCCTAGGAACTGCAGATCTTGCGATGGTACTAGGTCCGACTTGAGTAAGTTTACTAACCATCCTAGCTGTGTTAGTAGCTTTATGATGTAGTTTAACTGTAGTTTGAGACGCTGTGGATCTTGATCTACTTGTATCCCGTCGTCGAGGTAGAACGCACTGCGTAGCCCTAGACGATGTAGATAGGTGACAATAGGTTTCGTTATCCTCGTGAATAGCCAGGGGGCTGATGATATGCCGAATGGGAGTACTTTCCATTGGTAATGTAGCCCGTCTAGTGTAAATCTTAGATATTTCCTGGATTCGGGATGTATCGGGATGTGTAGATATGCGTCTTGCAGATCTATACTGGCCATGTAATCCATGGGGCGAATCAACTGCCGTAACTGAGGAAGGTGTATCATGCGCAACTTTGGTGGTTTGCGTAGATAATTCCTGTTGAAAAAGCTCATGTTGTAAATGAGTCTGTATTTCTCCTTGGAGTTTTTCTTGGGTACTAGGAAAACTGGGAAGTAGAAGCCTGGTTCGATGTTTACTTGATCTAGTACTTCTATGGCCTGCTTGGTTATGAGTGATGTAACCGCCTCTCTTAACTTTGGTAGTTGTTGTGCCTGTAAGTCGAACTTGTAAGGGTTGACTGTCAGCGGAGGCGTGGCCTGTAGTGGGATACGAAATCCGTGTTGAAGAATGTTGGAGACATAAGGGTCTTGTAACATTCCCCAGTTCTCCCAGTGTAGTTGGAGGCGTCCACCCACTTGTGACGGTTGTACTGGAACGGCTGGGGGTGGAAGACTCCAGTCGTTCCGAACCTGTCTTTCAGCGTTTATAGTTGCGGGAACCTCTGGGTGTCCTGCCTCTTCCTGACCCTCCTCTATAGTTGCCATATGGGCTTACGAAAAGAATCTTTTCCCCTGGCTGGCTATCTTCCTATCCCGTGCTGCTTGTCTGTAGTCCGAGAACTTAGATCTCCCTGAGTATCTTTGTGAAGTCTGCCTGATGACGCTGGCTAGCGTGTCCATCGACTTGATCATAAGGACTTCTCTGGAGTCCTTAGTGACTTCTTTGGAGACTTTGTCTATTCCTCCGTCAAAGATGTTTGGGGATGACCACGGGGCTGTATAGAGTGGAGCTGTAAAGTTCTCACCCTAGCTGCAGGAAGCGAGGAGGCCTTGACGACGAGCTAAGGTCAGTGCTGCTGAGACAGATGTGAGATGATCTGTAAGGAACTGCTGGTCCTTCTTTTGCATCAGTAGGGCCGAGTAGATCATCCTATCATCTTCAGAGGTCGATACGAAATCTGGTGATAAGTGTCTCATTGATCGCTTCTAGATCTATTTAGGCCAAAACATGCGTCTCGTCATGTTTTCTATCTGCACCAGCTTGCGATCGTCAATCTTGTAGTTCTTGTTCTTAACATCGCTGATCAGCTTGTAGTTGTCATCGATGTCTTGTGCCTTCAGGAAGGGGTCCATGTTGTGCGTGGAGAACTTCTTAGCGTGAAAGTTCGGCAGATGTGGTGTCTGCACTTTCGTAGCTTTAATGAAGGCTGTATCTAGATTATGTGGCACCGCAGCAATCGGGTCGATCGGAGGTAAGGTGATGGCATCTGCATCGTCTTCCTTCATCAGGTATGTCTGCGCTGAGTTGCCACTCTTGGACGGTGAAGATAAATCTAGGTTGTTTACCATCCAATATCTTATCTCAGCGTCTGAGAAGATGATGCCTCCATCATCTTCTGTGCCAGCATCCGAGATGAGAGGTTGATGCTCTTCTGATGGTGACCTGTGGGCTGCTATCTCTATGTCGGGTGACACTCGGGGAGACCTGACTGTAGACCTGCTGGCTGCTACGCTGACTGGGGGGTGCCTCTGGGGTGTCGTCTGCGTTGTTCGGGCCCTGGGCTGGCTGCTTTTCTCGACTGTAGTGGCCCTCCATCATGGTCATGATCTGCCGCAACAGCTCGTCTGGGATGGTCGGTGCCCTCTCTGCGATGACAGCTGCTGAGCCCTCAGGGAAGTCGTCTGACATCAGTGTAGAGGCATCAGGCTGCATGGCGATCTCTGCTGATGTCACTGTAGCTGTCACCGGTCGCTTCTTGTGGCGTACGTCAGGGATGATGATCGGCTGATCATCGTAGAGGCCCAGTTCGGCGGCTGGAACGATCTCGGCTGAGAAAGTTCTTGACGACTTCGTAGACTTCCCCTTGGATGTCGACGCTGCCCTGGGGGTCCGAAGTCTGCGTTGGGAAGACGTCGTGGCCCTCTTGGACTTTAGCTGCGATGACGGGACGCCTGGGGAGGCAGGACGCTTCTTAGAGGTGGCGGACTGCATCCCACGCCCATCTTCCGACGGAGTCTCTAGCAAAACACCAGACGGGAGGGGGTCTATCGACAGCAGCTGTCTGGAAGGGGAATCCGATGTATCAGCCATGTCTAACCCTTGTTTGCGTGACCTATCTGCGGTACGTCTCACGACGCAAAGATATTTATGAAAAGCAGAATTGGATAGATTAATGCAGTAACTGCAACGTGTATCAAACGCACAAGGCGTAGCACAACTAGGGCATAATACATGCGGGTCAGCAACCGAAAAACGTAAATTGCAAATAGTACAGATTTTCATCAAAGTAATACTAGCTGAACAATCATGAACTCACGTGAATAAACAGTAGAAATACGATTAATTATCAATGCAAATTAATGAAGGATACTAGCTATACCTCTATAGTAACCTATAAGAGGTAATAAACTAAGAAAAACCAAAGGATATAGTGTGTAAGGAGACACAGGCGCTCTCACATCCTGCTCACTGGGCGAAGAAGGAGAGAGTGAAGCATGAGGCCAGAGGGTGGCGACACCTGTTCCCGCCAAAAGGGCAAGGGAGGCAACTCTTGGTGAGTACCAATTAGTGATTTTACATTGAAGGGAGCTTCAATTAAGGAGATACAAGTGTTCCACTATGTTCGCAAGAAGAAGAAGACAAGCAAAAGAGCATGAGTCAGGATAAGGAAAAATAGTAGTCCTTTAATACACACCATCCTCACACCTCAAAAACTAGTCTTTCAATACACACCTTTCTCACACTTCAAAAACTAGTCTTTCAAAACACACCTTCCTCACACCTAAAAAAACTAGTCCTTCAATACACATCTTCCTCACACCTAAAAAACTAGTCCTTCAATACACACCTCACACCTAAAAAACTAGTCCTTCAATACACACCTCACGACAAAATAGTAGTCCTTTAATACACACCATCCTCACACCTCAAAAACTAGTCCTTCAATACACACCTTCCTCACACCTCAAAAACTAGTCCTTCAAAACACACCTCACACCTAAAAAAGTAGTCCTTCAATACACACCTCACACCTAAAAAAACTAGTCCTTCAATACACACCTTCCTCACACCTAAAAAACTAGTCCTTCAATACATACCTCACACCTTAAAAAAAAGTAGTCCTTTAATACACACCATCCTCACACCTCAAAAACTAGTCTTTCAATACACACCTTCCTCACACCTAAAAAAACTAGTCCTTCAATACACATCTTCCTCACACCTAAAAAACTAGTCCTTCAATACACACCCCACACCTAAAAAACTAGTCCTTCAATACACACCTCACAACTACAAAAAACTAGTCCTTCAATACACACCTTCCTCACACCTCAAAAACTAGTCCTTCAATACACACCTCACACCTAAACAACTAGTCCTTCAATACACACCTTCCTCACACCTCAAAAACTAGTCCTTCAATACACACCTCACAACTACAAACAAGTAGTCCTTCAATTCACACCTTCCTCACACCTCAAAAACTAGTCCTTCAATTCACACCTTTCTCACACCTCAAAAACTAGTCCTTCAATACACACCTCACACCTCAAAAACTAGTCCTTCAATACACACCTTCCACACACTTAAACAAAACGCCTAGTCCTTCAATACACACCTCACAACTAAAAAAAAGTAGTCCTTCAATACACACCTTTCTCACACCTCAAAAACCAGTCGATCAATACACACCTCACACCTAAAAACCAGTCCTTCAATACACACCTTCCTCACACCTCAAAAACTAGTCCTTCAATACACACCTCACACCTAAAAAAAGTAGTCCTTTAATACACACCTTCCTCACACCTCAAAAACTAGTCCTTCAATACACACCTCTCACCTAAACAACTAGTCCTTCAATACATACCTCACACCTTAAAAAATAGTAGTCCTTTAATACACACCTTCCTCACACCTCAAAAACTAGTCTTTCAATACACATCTTCCTCACACCTCAAAAACTAGTCCTTCAATTCACACCTATCTCACACCTCAAAAACTAGTCCTTCAATACACACCTTCCACACACTTAAACAAAACGCCTAGTCCTTCAATACACACCTCACACCTAAAAACACTAGTCCTTCAATACACACCTTCCTCACACCTCAAAAACTAGTCCTTCAATACACACCTCACACCTAAAAAAAAGTAGTCCTTTAATACACACCTTCCTCACACCTCAAAAACCAGTCCTTACACACCTCACACCAAAAAACTAGTCCTTCAATACACACCTTCCTCACACCTCAAAAACTAGTCCTTCAATACACACCTCACACCTAAAAAACTAGTCCTTCAATACACACCTCACACCTAAAAAACTAGTCCTTCAAAACACACCTCACACCTAAACAAATGTAGTCCTTTAATACACACCTTCCTCACACCTCAAAAACTAGTAGTCCTTTAATACACACCTTCCTCACACCTCAAAAAGTAGTCCTTCAATACACACCTTCCTCACACCTCAAAAAGTAGTCCTTCAATACACACCTTCCTCACACCTCAACTATACATAGGGAAGTAACACAGAATTCATGATCAAATTTCGAGGTCACATTGTTTAACATTCCTATATCTGAGTGACTTTCCTCTCAATCCAGCATATATCCATCCTCGATAATCCCCAGTGTATACGTTAAGATCACTCTCCACTATACCCTAGATGCATCTACGGCTCGGCAAATGATTTTATTACCTCCCTTGGCAGGCTTTTTCTCCAATCAGGTATCTATGCTGGGAAGTTGAGCGTACCATTCACAACTCTCTTTCGCTTCTTTTATCTAACTGATTAAACTTGGCAACATAATTGTTGCAGAGGTACTCTGAAAGAGGTAGAAAGAGTTCTTGCATATATTTTTTAAGGTTTCAGACCTGTCAATTCATCTGCATGATTTCCCAAAAAATCTGAGTCGCACTGCGAACAAACCTTCGTGGCTGCGACCGCTATCTTTGTTGACACTGGCAAGCTCTGTTGTAACAGCAGCGTAGCTGATTGGCTACTGTGAGAATGCGGAGCCAGCAAAAGGAGGTATTAAAATTATCGAGGCCAGCCATAGATGCATCCAGGGTAATAGTGGAGATTTACCGGAAAGTATAGCCTACCCTGGAGATTATCGAGGATGGCATATATCCTACAATGAAAGTATCTTTGATTCTTCCTTAGTTTGAGGCTAAGACAGTCTACTATTTCTATATTATAACTGCATGACAATTTTAGAGCTAAAATTGTTTTGAAAACCTTGGCCCAGGCCTACCACTAACCTCATCAGCTAAATGAATAACAAGACAAGTGCAAATTACATACCTTCCAACCATCAGGAGCAGTCTTGAAATATGGAAAATTTTCCCTGAAAAATACGCAAAAAAACCAAACTGTACATACATTCAATTTACTTAATATATGCTCATTTGAACTTTAAGATGAAAATATTAGCATAATATTATATTTGTTATATATAAGGTAGCGTTATTGCCTGGATAAAGTCATAGATAAAATTGTTTTCCAATGTTCAGATATTATCACTTGAACTTTCACATCAGATGAGTTGAACAGACCTAAAACAGAAAGAATATTGATACCCAATCAGTAATCAAGGTGACTTAACTTCGTGCTGAGAAATTAACATCTCCAGTAAAAGAATATCTATACAGTAGTCAAAATTTCCTGACTAAAATCTTTTAAATCTGGAAACTGAAAAAGTTGGAAGAATTATTTGGAATATTGTAGAGAATCTGCTCTCATCTTTTGATGTCAAAATTACCCTTTGAAAAAGGAAGGGGATCTTTGCGAAAAAAATTCAAACCGGAAGGGTTATTTTTGTCAGTATGTCAGATCAGTATGGAGTACCATCTTCTACCCAGAGTTCTATGCAGCCAGCATAGTACCTCTGCCACACGCCACAGAGATGTGATGATTTGTCACATCTTGCACCGTCCATTCAATATATATAACATATATCTTAGCTCTTATATTTTTGACGAATCGACACATCTAATTAAACTTCTTTGATAGAATGGTTTAGCTTCAGTGCGAAAATATCCTTAAATGTGTAACACTATTTTGATTTGCGTTAGCGATCTTTTGTTTACAATATTAGGTTGTACGGCTCCACGTGCTGTCATCAAAGCCCTTTGGAGAGCCACTTTCATAATATAAATATGTATTGTCATAAACCTTACTGTCACAGTCGTTGAAGAATATCTGTGTAACAATGGAAAACATTATGAAGAGCACACTGAAAAGCTTGATTTAGATTAACCTGTGGTCGTAATGTTATGCAAAGGCATCACTGCGTTGGAGTGTGTATGGAGTAATACTGCCTTGATTGTCAAACATATATTCACTGAATGAGTAATAGCACATATGAGTCTCTCAGGTTGGATAGGGGATGTTGTCTAGGCTTCTTCAAAATATACTTGGCGTCATTAATGAAAGGTCAATCCATTGGTAACACTATTTCTTAAAATGTATAAAATCTTTTACAAACTTTCTTAACAGTATGGAAAAACACATCAGGCAGTTGAAATGTCATTATTACGTTCTTTAACCTCTGATACATTCTGTTACAAATGGCACATTTTTTATTCTAATTGTCAATATGCAAATCTACCTGCCACATAATCTCAATGAATTTCATATGCAAGTCGCTCTATCCATGGAAGTGGAGGACAATACACATGCATTGATGCTTCTTCACTGTTGTTCACTGTTCAGGTACCTGTTTGAAATCACAGTTTTAAATGAGACGTTTTTTGCCACTTGCTGAAAGGTATCAGACTATAGGCCTTTTGGAATCTGGTCAAACTCAGTGGCAGGATGCTGTCCGCTTTATGTGAGTTAAAGTGCTATTGGTAGACTTTGGCCGAGGTTTCAAGCAAATGGGTCCGTGGAAGAAGCACGTCGACCAGGTCACCCCAGAGTCACAATAGTCTGAGATGACAGGCACATGATTAACACTGTGTTATGTAACAGATTTCTCAACGCAGTAGATCTTCAGACAGAACACTTTAATGTCAACAATGTAAGGATATTCAGGAGCACTGTTCGTCAACGTTTAAGGGCAGCCAGACTCCGCTGTATGCAACCTACAATTCGTGCCCCACTACCACATCACAGGCAGGCGCATTTAAGATGGAGTAAACATCATAGCCACTGTAATCAACATCATTGGTCTAGTGTGCTCTTCACAGGTAAAAGCAGATTCAGTTTGTCCTTCCATGATGGTCCGCAGAGGATTTATCGTCGCAATGGAAAGCGAATCACAGATGCAACTGTGCCCACGCATAACTGTAGGTCATGGTTTGGGCAGGGTAACTCCAACTGGACCTACTCCACTGCACGTGGTCGACGGTAATCTTACCGGACAGCGTTATCGGGACGAGATTCCTATACCAGTACCATTCCTGCAAGCTATGCATGGCTTTTATGGTTGACCCTCTTTACTGCAAGATGACAACACTAGGCCTCATAGGTCCAGGATTGTACACACGTCAACCAGCACCAGTGCATCTCCCAGGACTCCGCAGAGCTCTAGTAGAGGAATGGAATGTGATTCCAAAAGCTGTCGTTATGAACTTGATATTAGAAAGAGCATGAGAACAAGGTGCACCTGTGTCTTGGATGCGGGTACACAAGATATTGAATGACTGAGTGATTCAATGTTTGTCCTTTTCATTTGAAGGGTTGGTCTATACAACTGATGTTTGCTAGTGCTGTTTGAACTTTTTGTCTGTATGTCACGATGTGTCGCCTTTGTCAACACATTAAACATTATGATGACACTCTTAGTTCTATTTTTTCAGAGAAACTTTTCTTTACATGTGCTATATATCATTTGACCCTTTATTAATGACGCCTTGTAGTATACGCTATGTACGTACATCAAGTTCAATTTGACAATGTCAAAATCCTATCCACCAAAATTCAGGACTTCAACAAAAAGCCATCAAATCTGCCACCACAAACCTTTGGTTAATAGGGATCAAGGGTATTGCATACCATCAGGGTAAGAACATTAATTAAGTGATAGCCTATGAGTCAACCATTATACTAGTATCCATTGTAACCAGCTTATAATCCCTCTAGCATACTAGAGTTTACACACATAACCTGCATAGAATTTGTCCAAACTTTATTTGTTCTCATAATTGGTATTAGCGTGTATATTTCATGATCCAGTACTTATTTTAAAGAGTATATAACATTCATCCATGAGTGCTGAACATTTTCACTGACTGATGACCTGTTTTGATATTTTGGCTATAATCTGAGCAAAAGACTTTCAATCAAGGGAGATTCTCTTTGAAGTTTCTTCTATCTGAAATTTACCAAATGACAAATTTCTCAACTGGGTTTCCCCCATGATAAATTAAAAATGTTAAGCACATCTTGCATTTCTTATCAATATTTTACATGTGAAAAATTCAGCAACAAGGATCTGTACCTCGCATGACTTACATAAGGTATCAGTTTAATGATGCTTCAGTCTTACTTTAGTACAACATTTGACCATCTGTGAGTTTTACAATGATGCTGAGTGCCAATGCTTGATTCCTTCTACAGTTCTTAAAATAAGATTTGAAAACGTTTTGTAACATTTGACTTTTTCTGAACATTTATACACACAAAAACACATTCATTTGAACAAAAAGGTATCTTAACAAGACGGAACATAAATGATATTATCATGTTCTGACTAAATGAAGTAGATTAGCCAGGTGGAACAAGAGGTGACTAGTACAATCATGGCAGCATACACAAATGCATTTATCATGTTTATAAAGCTTCCAAACTGGGTTCACAGGTAATGTCTGATCACAAACAAATTAGGGGCTGGTCACATGATCCCTTTTGGTACCCACACCAAACATTACAGAAATATGGAAAACTCTTGGAAATATGCTATACGCTTTTGCTGGTATCATTAAAATAATTCAAAACAATAACAATATTAGCTTTATAGAGACATATGAGGTTAGGCCAGAACAATGTTATTTCTTGTTTTACGGATCTGCCTGTCGTATTTTTTCAAGAATAAAAAAAAAAAAAATTCATTTTCCCCGCTCAAATAATAAAATGCCAATGTTTTTACAGGCCAAAAAAGTAAAGTTACAAGAGTTTTTTTTGGTTGTTTTTTTGCCCCAAAAAGTAAAATACTTTTAGTATTTAGAAGGAATATAACTTTGATTTGTGATTTTATTTTTATTTTTTCCCCTTCCCGCCTTTAGGTTTTCTGAGGACAAAAATCCGTAAAAAAATTTTTTTAATTCAACTTAGTATGTAACACAAGTTCTGATTGGTCAATGCTATAAATTTCCGACCGTATAATCAGCATATACGGTTGCAATTTGAAAACCAATTCACCAAAACCTTTGAATGTATCCCTACACTATTGGGGTATCACTGCTTTGCAGGACATTGTCATTTGCAGAAGCCATAGGTCAGTTTAACTCCCCTATCCAGCTAAAATGGGTGGAATTTAGGTTAAAAAAGACAAAACAGTATCATAAATTTAATTTTGAGTTCAAACAACTTACTCACAACGGGCTGTTGACCTAGAGGGCAGTTTCATCATAATTCCGTCCATTTTATCTATGATACTATGATCTATTCTTCATTGTCAGATTTAGTCTGTGTGCACATAATAAATATGTGTAGTTTGAAAAGGGAACTACTTTTTCTGGCGATGGTGTAAGTTCAAGGAGTGATATGATTAACCTTTGACCTAGAGGAACTTTGACCTGGTTTAAATAATGAATTTCTTTCACGAAAAAACAGCGTAAAACGAGTTGAATTAGAATGGGGATAACTGTACTGTGTTTGACGAATTGGGCACATATACCGGTGGTTATATAGCCACAAATTTAACGTTACATCGGCTCAACTTGCGTGTCGCCGATATAACTAAATTTGCGGCTATATAACCACCGGTTTACGTCCCCAATTTGTCAAACACAGTACAGTTATCCCCTAAATGTAATTGGTCTGGCCTTATCAGTGATTTTAATTCTCCAAGTAACCTGTTTACTTTACTTGAAAAACCACAACAGTATGCAGATAAAGCAGTAATCTCAATGTGTGTGTGTGTGTGTGTGTGTGTGTGTGTGTGCTGTGCGTGCGTGCGTGCGTGTGTGTTATATTGGTCAAAGTAAAACAATACAAAATATGAATAAACTTGAATTCCTGAAAGACATAGTGTGCACAGACTATTTCCCCCTGTTCTAAATACATCTCTTCAGGTTCATAGGGTATAACCTGATTTACCTCTGTGACTGAATATCAGAACCTTGTAATTAGACCCAATTAAAGGGATTCATCTCAGTACTTATGACCTCAACAGCAAAATGTTTTGTTGTACCACATCAGCACATTCTTCTCAGGTTAGGACAAATCCCTGTATAATCATGGTGTAAATGTAATATACAAGGTATATATATTTGTTTTATGTCCATTATATCATTTTCAACAACTACAATCATAATTATGCTGTAGAGGTTGAATCATGTTCAAAATTCATGTTTTCAAATATGGAACATTTATCAGGTTTTTTTTATTTATGTATATCTGCTCAGAGGCTGATAATCTGCCCCAAGTCTGCAGTAAATGATGATAAAAATTACTATTTGAATTACAAATTCTTAACACCTCAGAATTCACAAAAAAGAACTTTAAGCAAATTTTGAACCTCTTGATGCTTCTGGCCCAATTCGCTTGCCATGGACACTTACTGACTTAGTTTGGAATCCGAGATATATCCCTATACAGGCTGTTATGTGACACAGAGATGACGAGAATGGACACAGAACAAAAAGGTATTCTGAGAGACACACAATAATGCAGTGTATCTACAGTGCATCAAGAGCAGTTATGGCTGGCTGTTATTTCATCCATCAATCATGTCCACACAATCATTGATTCATTGCAGGCTCTCAAGTCATTTTCTAAATGATTAGTACACAACACCATTTCAATGTGTTCTAGGACCCTCCTATTGCCAGCAAGTACAATAAAAATGAAGTATTGGAGGTCACCTGAACCCCACTTTATCAAGTCAAAGGAAAAGAACTGTCTGTATATGTGAGGTCCCACTTCCAATTACCCTGGTGTCTCTCACAGTCCCTGAACCATATTATTTTCCCTGATGCCTAGCCCTCACTGCATTCACAGGGTGGAAGCGCTGTCCACACGAAATGTGGAGTTGGCCCAAAAGAAACTCCATTTCCTCGCTGGACAGTAAAAGGACAACACGTGGCGCAAGAGTAATGGTAAGTTTTCCCTCGCATTTTCAATATTTTGCAAGTATATCAGGTTTTGCCATTTGGCAGACGGGTCTAGAAATTTACAGATCTCTTTTTGTAATAGCTTGACACCCTCTACATTTATTGCAATTGCGCGTTAAGCGAGGGCAACCTCCTAAGCACTGCTGAGTGTCGAAACAAGATCACGGAAAATGAAACTGTACATTTTACATTGAGTTGTGTTGAAACTGTCCATTGCTTTGAATGTTTACGTTGAAGTAACTGTCCATGTAGTTGCATGGATTTTAGAGCATTAACAGTCCATGGAGTTACATGACGTTTACTCAGCCCTCAATAATTGAGGATATTTCGATTAGGTATAATGTGTTCATTTCAGGAAGGAAATGGAGTTGCTTTTGGGGCAACTCCACATTTCCTGTGGACAGCGCTTCCACCCTGTCGCATTGCTAAAGCCCTAAATGAAGCAAGTCTTTATTTTCCTCGGGTTCAGAATCTCTCAAATCAGTGGGGCTCCTTTTAAGAGATAAACATCATGTGTTGGCCAATTTCCGTGTGTTATTGAGTATTTGAAGCACAGGAATATTTCATTTGAAATCTCTGGCTGATGCCGTCAGTTCCAAATAAATTCCCCGTGCTTCAAATACTCAATAACACCTGGAAATTGGCCAACACATGATGTTTATCGACATTGTAGACACAAAAGTAAACCAAAAGGTCCACACACGTTTTTGTGTCTGCACTCATTGACATCGAGTATGGGTACAGCAGTGAAATGTCATCAGCCAGCCGTTTCGGCTGTCTCCCATGGTAGCATCTGGAACTGCTCATTTGTGACGTCATTGGGACTTAACATCACAATATGATTTTAATGACGTCATCACAGCTGACGACGTAACAATACAATGGTGTGAGCGATGTTTGTATGTATTAATACGCAGTGAATTTTTCCGGGAATCGAATACCATTTGATCACGTTTTTTCAACCAATCAGATTAAAGAACACAGTGACTTTTGGTTTGCAATTCAACTTAAATGGGTTTATGTGTTACTATCAAAATTAAATATATTCAGAGACTAAGCTTTAGATATACCCAGTATAAACTAGAGTTATTACTGTTAATTTCCTGCAGACTTGAGCCAAATATCGCCCATTGAGCAGGTCTAGATGAATTTCTGGAATCTGGAATCATATGGTACTATGTGTGTGGACCGGAAAAAAAAAACACTGGACAGTTGAGTTGCAAGAAACAACCCAGGTGAAGATAGACATTCTAAAAGAATCAAGATATTGTTCTTCCTGACATTTTGACATGTTTGAGAAGGCCGTATCATGAGTGAGTGAGTTTTATGCTGCTTTTAGCAATATTCCAGCAATATCATTGTGGGGGACACCAAAAATGGGTGTCACACATTGTACCCATGTGGGGAATCGAACATGGGTCTTCGGCATGAGCAAACACTCAAAGCACTAGGCTACCCTATGTCTATGTGTATGCGCACACCATGGTTGCGCACATGTCCCTATGATGACTGGAAGGCAGTCTTAACATATATCAGTTAGAATCTGGCTTTTGTTAAATGTTAATATTGCATCAAAACTTAGTTGTGTAAGAAATCATGTACATTCTACATGACAGAACATAACAAAAGTGCTAGATAACACGATATGTATCGATGGTGGTATACCTTACACATATATAGATCTACACTTTAGACTAAGCCTACACATAATAAAAGATTGTGGTTGACCTTGATATACTTACGTCATGAAGTTGTAGATTTCACTGACAGGTAAACTGCCATTCTGACTGTTTTTCAAAGCCAGGGCAATGAGACAACTGTAGGAATAGACAGGTTTGGGGAAAACTTTCTCTGTCGGTTTACTATTGTCCGTGTCTTTCTTAGTATGTGCACTGGTAGATATACTGACGCTTTGTCCTGGAGCGGGTGGCAAGTTAACTGTTATGTGTGACCGTGGACGGATTCCATTCTGTAGATGGCCAACCAATACAGGCGAGCTTTCTGACGGAGACAGTACATTTTTGTTTTGATTTGAAACTGCAAAACCACCTTGAGTAGTAAACACAGTATTCTGTGATCCTATGGAATCAAGGGATAGGGTTGTTGTTGGAGTACTCGTCACGATCACACTCACATTGTTCAGATTTTCAGTCAACATAGCATCGCGTACAGTTTGCGTATGGGCTGGTTGCTGCAGGTGCACTGGAATGGCAGTTTGTGGATTTACAAGAAGATTCGGATCGGTGTTTTCAGTTTCTGATAACTGATGCAGCTGTGCAAGAGCCGCACTTTGGAGGCCTTGAATCCAGTCAAATTCCCCGAATGCGCCCGAAGCTGAAACACCAGTGTCCATTGCATCGAGATCAGGAAGTACTGACACCGTGTCTAACTTTGGATCCAAGCCACAATCCTGCCTGTCGGAATTCAGAAACAAACTATCCAGATCATTTCTATCATCCATCATGTCCATTACTGACAAATGGTCAGGGTCATTGTGATTATATATATCCATTTTCAGTAATTCACAGAGAAGCATGTAAGAGAGATGAGGCTGGACTGGAGGGCTGTGGTGTTTTGATAAATCCGATCCTCTCTTACTTGTTTTCCACACATAAGAATTTTCCATACAAGTTGAATGAAAGGTCTCACAAACGGCGAATTTCAGTATTGTAGTATATCAAGTCCTGTTACGTCAATGCTGGGTTCAGGTAATCACAGTAGATGCCCATTTGCCAAGTACAAGAAACGCAGTAGTAAAGTTTCCAGTTGTAGTAAAGTAGTAAAATTCTGTTGGTCAATCTGAGGGACAAAGAAACGTACTACGTTCAAAATACCGCGCGCTGATTGGATGTCGTTTGTCACGAGGTTTGAATTAAGCATCACTGGTTGGCTGTTGTCAAGGCGACATGCCATAACAGGTCCCGTTTTTCTCAGATCGAGCAGGTGCCCGTGCGTGTTTGTACACCGTCCTTATCGTGACAGAGCGAATCAATCTCTAATACACCGAGTTGTTATTAGTAATGACATTCACGGATACGAAGAAAAGCTGTCCCGACGTTCTTGTTATAAAGATTTAAACCCAATATTCATACACAAAAATGTTAAGAAATGGATATGGATGATATTAATGTGGATTTTATTTTACTTACTAAATATATATTAAAACAGCGATATGTAAAAGCAGGCATGGTTGAATGTCATCACCAATAGTTATAATTATTAGCATTCGTGTTTTCAGTTGGGAGAGATTTCACGCATCGTTAGTGTTGCTAATGTTAAAAAAAACCGCATTCTAGTACTATGTACACTACATGTACACTTAGGATTCTTATAAACTGGTTAATCGAAGAAAGCATTGTCATCATTATATTTGTCTGCTAGATACTATATGAGCTAAGAGAGTGGTTTCATTAGTCGTATGATCGATTTACAGGGTGATAATGGCTGACTGACAGAATTAGGGATCTTGAAAAAATAATCTGTTTGAACAGTAGTTTGGCCGTAAGTGGTTGTGCGTTACGGCACTGTAATATAGTGTATAGTCTGTCTCACAGTCCCTGAACCACATTATTTTCCCTACTGCCAAGCCCTCTCTGCAGTGCTAAAGCCCTAAATAAAGCAAGTCTAGATTTCCTCAGGTTCAGGTTCTGAATCTCTGGTGTCCCTGGGGCTCCTTTTCAATTTAAATGGGCTTGTTTGTTCCTATCAAAATTATATATATTCAGAGACTAAGCATTAGTCTATATAGTGTAGTGTAACAATTTAAGTGACACAGGTCATAGATGTTTACTATTTGGTCGTGAAATACACAATCAGTAGCTGTCTATTAGGTTTAATCATTTGAATTCGATTCGAGTTTGAATATATATAGGCAGTTAAATATATATATACATATATATATATATATTACATTTATATATATATATATATATATATATATATATATATATATATATATATATATATATATATATATATATATATATTTCATAGATAAATAAAAACAGAATGCCGTTTTCTCCAACATGTTTCGTTCTTTACTCTTCAGGACAATCTCCTGAAGAGTAAAGAACGAAACATGTTGGAGAAAAACGGCATTCTGTTTTTATTTATCTATGCAATATTTATGACTGAACACCTGTACTACTTTGGACATTTTGTGCGTATATATATATATGCAGTTATTTTTTCTGTTAACTTATTTTAATATAATTTCAATTTAAAGTACAATGATTACAGTTATATGTGAACTGTAAAAAGCCAATAAAACAGCGAGATGTTTTCCATGGGCATTTCCATGGTGATACACAAGAGCAATGAACAGAAGAAAATTTGTACTAACTAAAACAATATGCCACCCTGGATAATACTTACACATCATTCATGATGGGTGTGACGTAATTATTTCATAGAAATAGAGAGAGTCTTTCTCTATTTCTATGATTATTTGAACACGTGCATGTGTGCTGAAACTTCCATGGTTGGGTGACATATCCCCACGTATTGTAGGGCTTGCATAAAACATATGCACAAGGTTCGTATGCCTGACTCCATGAACATTTAGAATAAAAATTCAAAGTAAAGAAACCATGCCTATTTGTTCTCTCAAGTGACAAATGTTGTTACGCTATCAAATGTATGCTACTTAATTATGTCCATATCTACAGGGGCGGTGGGGTAGCCTAGTGGTTAAAGAGTTCACTCCTCACGCCGATTCCCCAATGGCTTCAAGCCTATTTCTACTGAATTACACTTCAGAAACAACATCTTTGCCTTTGTAATACAGAACGATTGGTGGGCAATAGGGACCAATAACACCCCTCTGGTCAGGAGGGATACAAAAGGAGAACTCCAAGATGTTCGAATATTTATACGGTGTGTCAAACATTTTTTTACCCGTGAAGGTCCGGGTTAGAATGAGCCTTCAGTAACCCATGCTTGTCGTGAGAGGCCACTAACGGGATCGGGAGGTCAGGCTCGCTGACTTGGTTCACACATGTCATCGGTTCCCAATTGTAGATCGATGCTCATGCTGTTGATCACTGGATTGTCTGGTCCAGACTATGTTATTTTCAGACCGCCGCCATATATAGCTGGAATATTGCTGAGTGCGGCGTAAAACTAAACTCACTCACTCACATTTATCTGCTCATAAAACCAATGAATAGTATTATGTTACCCTACCGACAGACCGTAGTACGCTGTCAGTGTCTTCAACCCACACACACACACACACACACCAACACAATCCCGTAATTCCAGCACACGATCATGGGCTTTATAAATGTTGTCTTATAAGAACACATTTCTCGCACTCCTCCGCCTTTATTTTTCTTTCACTCAAAACATCTACTATCAGGATCAAAACCATTATGTCACGAATAGAAATAAATAGATTGGTACATTTAAACATTAGATCTACCTATGTTCCCATACTTTAACTTATAACTTTTGGACATAGATCTATATATATACTTGTATCTGTACACGTTCCAAGCTAGGTGTACTTGTATTTCTATGGAGGATAGTTACGTAGCTCATTCCGGCCAAAAGTTTGACATTGCCTGTCTACACGAACGTAATCTCGCTTCTTGAGAATATACTCTAGATCTGGCATATATTTCTCCGGTCCCGGTCGTGACCATCTTCATTCATGCAAGAAACGATGGGCCAATCAACAGTCTTCTAACAGAGGCGAACCAATTGTATTGGCTGTTACTTGAGAGCAAGGCAAGAGATCTTCCACCCATCGTACGGACATATTGGACTTGCTTTCTTAGGACAGAGACCCAGGTGATACATAATTTGTAACTTTATGATTGTGAGTGTTAATATTCATATGCTACATGAAATTGAAGTCTAGATGGTACTGTGTTTGCATGAACCTAACAGACATGGTTTCTTCGTCAACTGTACAGCTCGACATATTTAGTATTTTGACAGCCGTGCCTCACTTCCTTCCATCTTGCCTCTGCCTGTCATGTCACCTTGTTTCCTTGTGTTGATAGATCCCTATCACTGCGCACCTGCGAATATGATGTCAATAGTTCACTTTTCACCACTTGTTCTAATTTTTCAAAGAGATAGCCGTTGAGGCCTATGTATTAATCATTAAGTCACAACTTTTTACGGCTGCGATTAAAGTCATCCCAGGTTTGTGTGAAGATGACTCGAGCCCAGATCTATATTAGGTCAATCTCGACATCACTGAAGAAACTGCTGTGCAGGAATATTTTCCCATGCATACCATTAACGCGTGTTGACACTAAAATTACATTGTTTTCTGTGTGATGTTTGTTTTGAAATATTTCTTATTTGAAACTTACTGAACATTCTAAAAGCAAAAGCAGTAGGAAATGACCTGTCATATTGAGAACAGGTAAGTAGGTAAGTGAGAGTATTCAGCATGAATGACTATCTTTGTCTTGATGCAAGAAAAACTATGTAATATATATGAGGGGACATAGTAATTATAATGTCTGTCTGTAATCTTTTCTTGTGCAGATCGTGTCTCCAAATCTAATCGGCATTCTCACATGAACCTTTGCACACACCAAGACCAGGATTTCATCTGCTGCCTTTTGCAACTTAGGGATTTTTGAGAATGTATTTTTCATTCAACAGCAATAAGTTTGACTTTCATTCTATTCATATTATTTGTTTGTCCGGACCCCTATGTTTAAACCCAATGGGTATTTTTTCATCATGTTCATAAATCCTTTACACATGTAGACCAGGTTGTCAACTGGTGCCTTTGCTATTTAGGGGATTTTAGAATTTGTATTTTTTCATGGCAACAAGTTTGACATGGATTCAATTCACAAGGGAATTTGTTTTTCCAAGAGCATATCTCGAAAAGTTAAAGGTTGTCTTCAGTTAGCACTCAAAGGAACCAAATTGCCAACTGTGACTTCCACTTAGCATGCTCACATATATTTTCTGAAAAGAACCTGAAGCAGCCAGTTCCAAACCCCAAATCTTTGTTACTGGAGCAGAAGTAACACTAATTAGGACGTGTTTCAGTATGTTTCATTCTCAAGCACTTAAAGTGCTTTTCAATAAGTGACCAAACATAAGTCTGTACAATTTATCTTAATCAGCGATAACATAAAGTTATGTACTCAGCATAACGCTCTACTGGTGTAGAGCAGTTTAACCATCGTGATCAAACCAAGATGTCCTCAAAAACAGCAATTTTGAAGCCACTCATCAACAATATTGTTCACGCCAGTAGCCATAGTAGTTGGGTAAGAGGGATTTATCAAAACTTGTTTCGGGCAAATATTCAGCCTCATATCTGCATCAAACATAATTAACAATGCCCACTATTGTCCTTTGATATATTCCAAATTCATGTTACAATGACATGTGTATATATAACTGATAACTACTTTTGTGACTCTGAAGAAGTAGTCTGTGTTCACTTAGAACAAGACCCGTAAATAGGAATATTTTGAAAAGCTCTATTTTCAATTATTTAAGTAAATGTTATCACACACTACCAATTTAAGAAAATGTTAACTTTTGAACAAAATAACAATGTTTTCCCCAGTTTGTCTGCTAGGAGCACTTATTCAAGAATTTTAGATAATACATCCCTTGGTAATCTAGAAATGAAACAAAAATCATGTAACAATATCAAATGACTAAAAGAAGAATACACAGTGTATGTGTTAACGCAAAAACATGCATGTTTTACGCAAATAAATCAACAGTTCACGCCCAATATTTTCTCCCTGCATATTCTGCAAGCAAACCATTTGTAAATTACTTCCTTAATTCACTTGATCATGATGATACTGAAATGTAACATCGTCATTTTTGACATGGTGATGTGTAGCCTAGTGGTTAAAGCGTTGGCTCGTCACGCCGAAGACCCGGGTTCGATTCCCCACATGGGCACAATGTGTTAAGCCCATTTCTGGTGTCCCCCGCCGTGATATTGCTGGAATATTGCTAAAAGCGGCATAAAACTAAACTCAGTCAGTCAGGCAGTCAGACATGGCGATGTTACCAAAACTTGGAATTCCCCAGGTTTATAAATAGCGAGATGGCGTGCAAAACTCCGAACCCTGTATGACCATATATGTCAAGAATTCATACCTTATATAGCTATTTGCAGTTCTGAGATGCTCGAGTCACATATTGTGTGCCACATCTTCCCAAATTATTTATGAAACTGAAAAGCTCTTTTAATGGGCTAAAGTTAAGCTGATCCTTTTTCAAAATAATGACGATGACTTGTGGACATATGAACAGATGGTTCGTGAAACACAACAGGTAACCGAAAAACATATTTTCCCCAAGGAAACAACAAAATAAAATAAAGTTTCTCTCAGCTAATATGCTTGCAAATGATTATACAATGCTGTGAAATTTCAAAAGTTTACTGGGCTATGCCTCCAGAACCCCCTTGAGACCTCACCACTTAGTGGCTCGGGCATGCACACGTAAGATTCCGATGGGCTTTGCTTTTTAGGAACGCAACGCCTTTTTTCCTACCGTGGACACTGATACCCAGTTGTTAATTTTTCCAAAACTTTATTTTTGTAACAATTTCAAATTGTAAGCATTCATTACTGTGGCAGAAGCTATTCCAATGTATTTTCATATAGCTGAACTTCCAATATCCTGCAGCCAGTTATAAAATGAGTTGATTTTGAAATATTTACCCTAATTTCAGTTGTAGGGGTTAGTGAGTATGGTTTTACTCCACTTTTAGCAAAATTCCAGCAATATCACAATTGAAGACGGCAATAATGGGCTTCACACATTGTACCCGTGTAGGGAATTAAAAATGGGTCTTCAACGTGACGAGTGGACACTTCAGCCATTAGGCCACCCCACTGATCTTTTCAGCTATGAATAGGATGACTGATTGTGGTGTTGCTCTTAGAGGAGAACTGATCTAGAGCAATCCCCCAGGACTGGTTGTTGCTTTTCCTTGTGTTTTTTTGTGAAGTGGGTACCAGGATGATATCCCAGCATTCTTTCTGTTGTGCCAGAAAGGATAACACGGGACATCTATTTTCACAATATCCACAGTTCTTAACATGTGTAGGGTAAAACCACCAAATATGGATGACAACAAGGGAGTAGTAATTGTTGTATGCAATTTAGTTGCCCCCAAAACTTAAGGATCATTGCTGTTTTGAGAATATGAATTGAGCTTTATTGTTGCATAAATAATATGTACACACTTTTGCTGTGTTCTAAAGTCGTTCATCATACTGTCCACGCCTCAGAAATTAAAATATGCTTCCACTGCTGGTAGAGCTCACAGAGATCAATAATTGATAAATATCAGAGAAGTAACTTTGAGCAATAATGCCAAAAAGATCTGAAAATGAAATAGATAAAAAATATTTCTCATCTGTAGTGAGTTAATGCATGTTTATGCATAGATTACTATCTAAACAGCGTCATGAACATAATTTGGAAGCAGCTCATGGATAAAGACCTAAGTTTGTATATTGTGTGAGTAAATTAAAACTTTCTTCTATTGCAACAGTTAATGTACGATATTATCGATAACACAATTTTCATATCGATAATCATTAATAATCATTCTCATCGATGATATTATTAGTGGTGGTCCGATTAATTGAAATAATCGAAGATTGGTCGCAGTGACCAAAACGACCAAGCAATCGATCATGTTTTCTCATAATCGAATACAAACAATTCTGGAACACCTTTTGCATTAACAATTTTGTTCACAAGGTTGGTTTTGTCTGTTACATTTCATGAGCAATACAAGCTCGGTCCAAGTCATGATTGAATTTATCTTAAAGACCCCAAGAAATTTATGTTCCTAACATACTAGTCATCCTTGTGAAATGTGAAATTTGCGGAAAAAACAACCAAAGAACTACAAAAAATTTCCCAATGTTTTTGTGCAAACAGGAAAATTTCATAAATGACGCTAACCAATTATTTTCGATGATTGACCGGTTGTAATGAAACAATCATCAATTATGAGATTTTAACCAATTCCCAACACTAGATATTATAAATCATTTTAGCCAGCCCTAACTGCTGGGATACTTTATAAAGACTTGACTAGAACCACCAGGGATGCATCCAAATAACGACATCTGATGGGCATCCACCATTTTTTTGTATGCTTGTTCAGGTTGAAAAAGTAGCCTAATGGTTAAAGCGTCCGCTTGTCAAGACCCGTGTTCGATTCCCCACATGGGTACAATGAGTGAACACCATTTCTGGTGTCCCCTGCAGTGATATTGCTGGAATAGTGCTAAAAGCAGCATTAAGGCTTACTCACTCACTCAGGTTGAAAAAATTAGCGTGTGTATAAACAATGTCTCAAAGTTTATGTCTGTTGCCCTTGCAGATAGTAACCAAGTCTCATGTAACAATCAGTTGACGTGCCTGAATATGACATGAGACTGGGCTACTATCTTTAAGGCCAGCAGATGAAACCTAATGGCAGTGTTAGACTTTCAGGTTAAAGCCATAGACAGATAGATCAGTGTACCTTTAATATTCTTTAGCTCCAATGAGTAACTGGTCCAGGCTTATGATAGATGCTCCAGGAAAGTACTCTGAAGAACTACTAGTAAATCTAAAGACATTTGCAGACAGTCCTTGGAATTTCTACCATAGTCTTTTCAAAGGCTTCTCATTCAGATATTCAGATGCCCCTTATTAATTATTTTCATCACACTTTTAGACGCGTTTTTGTGTGACACGCAGAATTTCCCTGTCTGTGATCAGGCAGTCTCGCGAATATGTGATCCCCTCTCAAGTTGTCACTTGTACGCGTAACGGGG